CCTCGCCAGAGTTTCTCGAAGCGATGGCTGCGCTGGCCGAGTTTGGCGAGGAGAAGTTGCGTGTAGCAAGATTGGTGCGTGGGTTGCGGTCCTCGGTGCACCAGACATTCGCTGCAGACGGGCGTCTTCTATTGTTAGATATCAGTTCTTATTATAACAAGGCAATGCGGCACCGCAGTCTCGTACTTTGCAGTTGGCCGCGTCTATGATCTTGATCTCCTGATACGGTGATGGTAGCCATGTGTATTAATTGTGATGGCGTCCAAACTAGCCTCGCCTCGCCTGCAACAGCACTGCTGCTCGCCTACTGAGCTGCCCAGCAACTGCATGTTGAAAAATCAAGTTCTTAGCACGTTGCGTTTTCTTATTGCTCACGCTCGTCGCAGACCACGATCGCCAGCGTACTCGCCGCTGCGAGCCACGCGTCGTACGTTGCCTGGTTGAAGAGCACAAATTCGATGGCTTCGTATGCATCTTCGCCCGTCGCTTCCGCAAATTCCAAGCATGTTTCGAGTGCAGTTAGCGCTGCCGACTCGAGCGGGTAGCTGTAGACACCGCAGCTAATGGCGGGAAACGCGATCGTCTTGCATCCGTACGCGTACCCGAGCTCGAGGGACCGCCAGTACGCATCGCCAAGAAGCTCCGCCACGGGCGATTTGCGGCGGTACACCGGTCCCACGGTGTGAATGACGTACTTGGCACGCAAGCGATAGGCCTCGGTGATGCGAGCTTCGCCCACGGGACAGCTACAAATGAAAATGACATCTCGACAAGTGCACTGCCGATGGACGAACCGAACGTGGCGTCGCACTTCAGGAGCTTGCATGCACGCTTGCAGCAGCTGTGGACCCGCGGCCTTGTGAATAGCGCCATCGACGCCTAGACCAGTATCCGAGATCAGTACGAGGGTTGTCGACCAATCGTGCGCAGACCGCTGCCGCCTAGCATGAGCTCGTTGGCAGCGTTCACAATGGCGTCGCCTTCCCAGCGCGTGATGTCGCCGAGCGACACGACGAGCCGGCACGTGGGCGAGAGCTGGAACGTCGATGGCTCCATGAAGGCAATTCGAAAATGATGCAACCCACGGGACGCCGATTGTGACAACCAAAGCGAAAGGGCGACTTGATTTTCCTGTTTATTCCGGATAATACGACCGCGTATCCGAATAACACGATCCAAGACCCAAACGACGCCTTGCTCGCACCATGGTGGGACCTCGGCGGGAGCGGAGCATGATGGTCGATGGTCCGTCGTAGGGTCCGAAGAAGAAGAAGGGGAAGAAGAAGTCCAAGGAAGAGCTCGAGGAAGGTAGACAACGCGCATGATGGATTCATGGAATACGACCTCTCACCATTCGACGGGTAGAGCGTCGGCTCAAGGAGGAGGAAGACCTTCGTACCAAGCAAGGTACGCACATGGAAGGAAGCGATGGGCGCGAATCAAGCTCCGTTCGGTAGAGGAGGAGCGGCGCCTCGAGGAAGAGCGCAAGCGACACGAAGAAGAGGAGCGAAAGCGTCGGGAGGAGGAAGCCAAAAGCCGCGCGGCCGAGCTCGTGCGGCTGGCCGACGAGTTCGAGTCGAGCAAGGACGCGATTGCAGCCAAGGCAGCTCGCCTGCAGCAGGAGCTTCGCCACCGAAAGGAGATCAAAGACGTACGCTGCGCCATGCTGTCTTGTCGGCTCATGGCTCGTAGTGGGAAAAATACCTTGCCTGCGAGACCAAGCCGGACGCGACGCTCGAAGGCGACATCAACGCGTTCGTCAACTCGTGGCTTCTCGAGGACGACACGGACCTTCCGAGCGTCGTCAAGTCGTGCGAAGACGCGCGTCGTGTGATCTTGGACCTGATCTTCGTCTGCGCCGAGGCGCAAGCGCTCAACCAGCCCGCCCAGCTCGCGCGCTGCGAAGGCTTCATCGAGCACATCATGGAGCTAACACGGCAAAAGATCGAGACCAACACGGCCCACATCTTACAGTACGCGGATGAGTTCCTGGACCAAAACGCTGCCGCCAACTCCAAGGGCGAAGTCAAGATCACGAGCGCGGCTGGCCCTGTCAAGGTACACAGCTCCCTTCGCTCCACATTGGATCTTTTCAAACGTGGCCAGGTCGGACTCTGGATCAACATTATACCGAAAGGACTACGGAACAAAAAGATCGACTTTGCCGAAATGGAAATGCTCGTGGATGTGCCCAAGCCTGTTGTGATGCAGTCCCTCGCCGTGCGCGCCATCTACCTTCCGTATGACAACGCGCCGAACTCGGTCCACAACCTCGACGTCGCTCTCGGAGGCGTCTTTTCGATTGATCTACTCTGCCTTCCACCGGCCCCGAAGCGTGCGCGCGGCTGGGTCATGCGAGGTACGTCCATGTCTGGCCTACATAGCACAACGGATCGATGGTATTGTAGAACTTAGCGTGGAAAAAATCCATCGACTCGAGTACCCACTGGAAGGCTCTGTCGCGACAGCGTCGCTCGCCATCAAGGTATGACGTGCCATTTAGGCACTCGGCTCCACAGCTTGGTTAGGTGTCGGTGACGTTACCAAAAGATGTGATTTACCCCACGAATCCACGCGTCGGGTGGTGGGATGCCAACGCTGAGACGTGGGTCGAAGACGGGATCTCTGAAATCCTATTCAACGAGGAAGCCAACGTCCTCAACTTCAATACACTCAAACTCACCAAGATCGCCGTGCTCCAACAGCGCAACGCCAACCACACAAAGCACTCGTGGAGTCTCAAGATGAGCACAGTCAACGACGGCGACAAGCACACGTGCGTCGCGCACCTCAAGCTCCAAAACGACATGTACCGGCTCATCCACTTGGAGGTGACCGACATTGGCGTGCGCCTCGTGTCGCCGAGCGTCAAGCAACTCTCGGAGCTCAACAGTGCGTACTTGCCACCGCAAGAGACGCTCAAGCGCCTTGCGATGGCCGGTATCGACCTGACGCCCTCCGTGGCTGACGATGCGCGCTTCGGTGTTATGCCAAAAGATCGCGCTTTGGAAGAGAGCTTGGTGTGCGAGCTGCTCGGAATCGCGTGTGCCTTTGAGATCACGAGCATTCCACACGGCCACGAGTGGGACCCGGTGATCATCGCGAGCCCCAAGCACGCCGTCTTTAGCGTCAAGGAGATCGTGTGGCCGCTCGTGACGCACGAGACCGAAGACGACGTCAAGTCGCTCGATGTCAGCGATTACGTGCACATCACCGCGCAGGTCGATACACAGACGAGCGCCGGCATCAAGTTCAGCACCAACCGCAGCTCCAACCCGTACGACACGTATGTGCACGTCAAAGAAGCGCTCGGTCCGCTGTGCACACCGGACGCGAAGGACCGCATGGAGAACTCCAACCTCATCTTCGAGCACAATCTGCTCAAAGTGCTGAGCTTGCTGCGGCTCTTTAGCTACACCCAGTCTTTCAAGCAGCACGAGCTGGCTGTCCATCGGGTCGTCGACGATACCGACGACGTGCCTGCAGCGTTAGCAGGAGACGAGGCAGCGCTCGACAAGCCGGCCGACGAGAGCACGCTGCCGATCGAACGGCCCGCCGAGCCCGTCGCTACGTAAGCAATGCACAAGCACTCTGTACAAACTGAACGGACATCGTCTTCTATTACACGCCCAGAAATGCCTTGAGCTCGGTACAGCCACCCACGTAGGTGTCGTTGACAAAGATCTGCGGCACCGTGTGCACGACGTGGCCGACGCGGTCGCAGAGATGCGTATACGAAATATCGACGTCGACCGTGTACTCCTTGAAGTCCAATTTAGCCTCCGATAAGACGCGCTTGGCCTCGTGGCAGTAGCTGCAGTCGGGCTTGGAGTACACCGTGATCGTGTCAAGCGGGGCCTCGTGCTCGATGATGGGGCCCGACCAGTTCATGTGCAGCCCGCACTCTTGGGCGACACCGCGGAAGCGTGTGTCGCGGCCTGACGCTGTCGCGTCGACGGGGCGGCTCGAGTGCGTATCTCCAATGGTTTCGTAGCCGCGAGCCTTGAGGGGGTGGTACGGCAGCCCGTGCTTTGTCATGTACTTGTCGACATCGGCGTTCGTCCACTCCAAGATGGGGCATATTTTGACGCGGCCGTTGTGGAGATGCACAATGTCGAGGCTCTGCCGATGCGACGTCTGTTGCGCGCGCAGCCCGACGAGCAGCGCGGTCGCGCCAAGCTCGCGGAGCGTGCGCTCCATGGGCTCCACCTTGCGGATGTAGCCATACCGCTTGTGCGCGTCGATGGTTTCGTCTTCCCAGAGCTTGCCGTGCATCGCTTCCATGTGTGCCGGCGACAATTTCGACTGCGAAATGTGCAAGTTGAGGTGCAGACGCGTCGTGAGGTCGTTTGCAAACGCATACGTCTCGGGAAAGAGGTATCCAGTATCCACCCAGACGACAGGCACGTTGGGCTTGGCGGCTGTCACCAAGTGCAACATGAGCGCCGACTGCACGCCAAAGCTCGAGCTCAAGACGACGCCGTCGCCAAAGGTTGCGACGGCCCACGCGACAATCTCGGGTGCGGACCGCCCGCGCAGCGCCGCGTTGGCGTCGGCGACAAGCGTCTCAAGCGCCGACGCGTCCTGGTTGCTGCGGCCGTCTGTTGTCATGGTGTTTCGGATCCCAAATGCGCCCACTTGAGGCCCTGCGGTCCTCGAACGTCGCTTCACGTACCAATCACAGCGTGCGCTGGCGCCACGTCGGCCCGTTGTTCGAGGGTTGCGATCTTGAACCGTCGCGTCCCTGATTGGTCCATCCATGATACACCAAAAGCGTGCGGTCGCCCGAGATATCGTGTGTGCGATAAATTCAGTCGCATTACCGCAGCCACGTGGTCGCACGCACACCGCGTGCCTCTTGCAGAGACATTGACGCATCGATTCCATAGCGCGTACTCGCTTGCGCCATCGCTGCAACCGAACGTCCTTCGCGCACGTCATTCTTATTTTTTTATTCCATTTGAATGCAAGATCGGTGGCCACAACGAGCAAATGCAAAATAGTGTCACGTATGCGTACGGAAATCGTGTGCGCTGCGTGGTTCGAATTACACTCGCAGGTAATACGTCGGGTGCGACAGTGCGTTTTCCCTCGGGAGAGAGCGCATTTTCGTCTACGCCAAGGTCGATTTCCGTACCTTTCTGTTTCGATATCGGTCCGTTTTGTCGGTAAAGCGAGGGAGTTCTTTTGGCAGGCACTTTTTTCGCGCACGGCTATTTTAATGGGCGAAATAATAAAATGCACTCGCTTTTGTAATAAAAAGCGCGGCTGAATGTCCGATACAAGGCGGCAGTAATGGTGGTCGCACTGAATAAAAATTCGATCCCGTGTGACAGCGCGGGGAAAAAATTGGCCGCCGACCGTCAGTCGCCTATTGCTGCTTGGACAGCGCCATTCGCCGAGACTTGTAGATATGAACATGCAACTGCGGATCATCGACCTCGACTCGGGCAGAGCGCAGTACGTCTCATGGGACCCGACGGTCCCGGACGACGCCTTCGAGGGTGTCTTTGAGAGCCTCCTGCGCGAGACCTTTGGCATCACGGAGGACGCATGGGTCGACCTCATCGACCTCAACAACTCGAGCCTCGTGCCGATGCACAAGGACGCTTTGCTGGCGTCGCAGGCCAAGTCGGGCACGCCGCTCGTGCTCACGCTCTCGTCCAAGACGGAGGCGCTGAGCCCGCTCAAGAAGGACGACATCATCGAGGTCGTCTTTACCGAGCGCTCGCTCGGCATTACGATCCGCGATTACCACCGCGACAACGTCGTTGTGAACGCGTTCCGGTCGAACGCCGATGGCACCATGGGCTACGCCGAGGCCACGCGCCTCGTTGCGCTCGGCGACGTCGTGTACAAGGTGGGCGGCGTCCGCGCCGTCGGCCGCCCCTATGACAGCGTCATCCAGATGCTGCAGAGCCCCGTGCGCCCTTTGAGTGTACATTTCTTTCGACCGCGCATGCGCGAAGGCCTCTACGCCGTCGAATTCACAGGCGCGTCGCTCAACATGACGATCACGACCGACGATACACGCGTGCTCGTCTCGCGGCTGCCGCAGCCGCACGCCAACGTCATGGGGTACGCCGAAGCCCACGGTGTGCGCCTCGGCGACTCGATCCACGCGATTGATGGCCACATCCTCGACGGCCCCGAGTACGGTCGCGCCGTGAGCTTGCTCAAGCGGCCGCAGCGCCCGATGATTGTGGTCTTTTGGCGCGCGTCCGTGACGCCGCAGTACCTACCGCAGGTCGACACGCCCAAGAGCGTCTCGGGGCGGTCGACGACCGGGTCGCTTGCGTCGCCGTCGCCGCGCATGTCGTCCAAGAACATGAACGTCGTGACGCCCAACCGCGCCAAGGCCATGACGTTCTCCACCAACGGCCCGTCGCCACGTCCGTCGCCGCGTCCGTCGCCGCGCATGTCGACCAAGCAAAGCAACTATGACATTTACAACAACACGTCAACGATCCAGGGCGGCAGCCTCTTTGGCGACAACATGTCGGTCGACGACATGATCGACTACTGCGAGACGATCGCATCGATTGGCGTCGTCTCGGCGCACGAGACGGAGATCCTCAAGGACATGCTCAACGGCGGGCGCGGCGACCTCGCGTCGGCCATTCGGCACCGCAACAAGAACGCGATCGTGGCGCTGGTCCGGTCGCCGACCATGCGTCTCTGGGACCACTTGCTCAAGACGCGCGAATCGATCATCCTCGCTGGCCCCGTGACCTTCAAGAAGACGAAGCGGTATCATTTGCTCTTGACGGACCACGAGCGTGTGCTCTTTGTTAACAAGGCGACGAACGCCCTCGAGGACGAGATTCTCTGCTCGCACATTGTGACGGTGAGCTCCCGCACCAAGGTCCACGAGCTCGTCATTACGACGACGAAAGCCGAGTACACGCTCAACGACAGCTTTATCGGCCCGTCGGTGTGGGTGCGCGCGATCTTGCCGTTCACCAACACACAGGGCTACCTCAAGGTCGACTCGAACTCGCTCCTTGGCTCGAAGAAGCGGTACTTTGTCTTGAAGGGCGAGAAGCTCTCTGGCTACAAGAAGGACTCGGTCGTGAACGCCCAGGAAGCCAAGCCGTCGACCGTGCTGCTTCGGGACGCGGTCGTGCGCGTCATTGACGCCAAGGCCTTCAAGTTTGAGATCTCGACGCCCGAGCTCGCGAAGTCGGGCAAGAAGCTGACGCTGATCGCGGCCAACGCGCGCGAGTACAACAAGTGGATCTCGTCGCTCCAGGCGTTCCAGCTGCAGCGCAACACCACCGTTGGCGGCCTCGTGTCGCCGTCGGCGGCCTAAGACGGAGGACGCGGTCTCGTATGTGTTTTTTTAACTTATAGTAAGTCTATCCTCTGCTGCGCCAGCACTGGTATCGGCGTTGCTCCACACGAGGTAGAAGTGCACCTTCTTGGCCATACCGCGGAGACGCTTCCGACTGCTCTTGTCGGCCACGTCGACCGCACTCAGCAGCAGCATTTCGAGGTCGCAGAGCGCATCGCAGATGAAGAGCGACGCGCTGCTCAGCGTCGCTGCGTCATCGAGCGCTGCCGCGGCGGCCGCCGCATTCAGATCGGGGAGCGACGCACTACCGCACGCGGTACGGACGTCGTCGATGGTCATATACACGCGTTGGCTGTGGAGCACGGCCGAGAGCGCGACGAGGGTCGCGCTGGCCTCGGCCACGTCGGCAGTCCAGTCACCGTTGTACGTGCGCAGCGTGTAGGCGTATGCAAAGAGGAGTTCAAACAAGTTGCAGCAAAGCACGGGGCTGTTGGGCGATGCATGCAGCGCGCTGATCGGTTCCAGCGCCTTGGCGCGCCGCGTCGTCAAAATGTGTTTGGGGTGCTGGGGAGGGACCTCGACGTCGCCATCGATGTCATCTTCGTCGTCGTCGACGGCTGTAATGAGCTGGTGCCGGGCAGAGTGGGTGGCCGCTGCGTACGCTGCAGGCGACGTTGTCCACCACGGAGTCCAGAGCGCAATGAGCTTCCCGAGCCGCCCGTCGGCCACTTCGCGGAGGAATTGCGCGCGCTCGTTTGGCGTGAGCGCGTCGAGGGACAGCGCGTCCGACTCCATGAGCTCGACGAGCTGCTCGAGGCGGTCATCGAGGCCATGGTCCTCGTCGCCAAACTCGTCGTAGACGCGGCGAAGCGCCTCTTGCATCGCATGCGCGGACGTCGTGTCGACGGTCTTGTTGAGCTGCATCTCGCTCTCGACGTGCGCCTTGTAAAAGTGCTCGGTGCACGTCTCGCCATGGGTTTTGTAGCAGGCGACGCCGCAGTAGACGACGTTGCAGCGCGGGCACGTGTACTTGGAGGCGGCCTCGGTGCACACGCCGCACACGCGCAGCGCGCTGCTGTTGCTAATGCCGGCGGACGACGCGGCTTTATGCAGCTGTATGGAGGCGGACGGCCCGAGCGTCGTCTTTGTGCGCCCGAACCGGATCGGGACCGTGATGGGCGTTGGCGGAGGCTGCGCTCTTCGGTCCATCGCGACTGGAAAGTGTAAATCGCATGTGATTGGTTGCAAAGCCATTCATGGATCCAATCGTGGACGGCTAACACTTGGATTTCAACCAATGGCATCGACGCATCCCGTTTTGGTTGAAGGCATGCTCCGACGCAGCCATGGTCTTGCGCGTGCGTTCGCGACGCTGCGCCCACGCCGGTTGCTGCCCGCACCTCTTGTCGACGGCCTCGCGCAGTTCCAGCGCGACCACGGCCACTTCATCGTCCCCCGCGACCACGAGTCGCCTGACGGGTTCCCGCTGGGGCAGAAGCTCCAAGGCCTCATTCGGAAGCTACCGACCATCTCTCGCGAGCGCAGCCACCAGCTAGACGCGATTGGCTTTCCGCTCGACTGGCATGCGTATCTTCTCGGCACTGCGATTCTACCTGCCCTACAGACGTACAAGGCCGTGTTTGGCGATCTCTGGGTGCCCCAAAAGTACGTCGTGCCGACGTGCGATCCAGTGTGGCCGGCAGCCACGTGGGGCCTTCGCCTTGGCGAGCGCGTCAGCTACCTCCGCAAAGCCAAGTACGACCTTCCGATTGCGCAAACCAAGGCGCTGGACGCAGAGGGATTCGTTTGGCATGCACGCAACGACCGGCTGCATACGTTGACGCTCCCCGCACTCCGTACTTACCGTGGCCTCCACGGGTCGCCGCACGTCCCCAATGCCTTTGTCGTTCCTTCGCAGCAGCCGTGGCCAAGTGAGCTGCATGGGTACAAGCTGGGCCACGCCATGATGGCGCTCAAGGCCAAGCACCGCGCCGGGACGCTCCCCGAGACCGTCCTTGCGGCGCTCCACGACCTCGACCTCGACTTGGACCAAACACTGCGGGAAGCCAAGTGGACAGACGTGATTCTACCAAGTCTTCACGTCTACTTTTCGTTGTACGGGCACAGCGACGTTGAGCAGGCTTTTCTTGTGCCCGGCGGCGCGCCGTGGCCAGCGGTAGCTAAAGACTTGGCCCTTGGGCGCATCGTGCGCGACCTCCGAAGTACCGGGACGTACAGCGAGTTTGTCGAGCGAGACGAAGCAACACTGCGGGCGCTGGGCTTTGTGTGGAGTCAACAAGAGCGCATGGCGTTCACGATCCAATCCAAGGTCATTCCAGCGATGGCAGTCTACCGCGACGTGCACGGCCATGCCTTTGTGCCTTCGAATTTTGTCGTACCGGCGACGCGCCCGTGGCCAACGCTCTCGCACCACATGAAGCTCGGTCACTGGATCGCGCGCACGCGATGCGAGCTCGACAATTTGCCGCACAATCTGCAGTTTCTCCTCGAAGAGTCCGGTATTGTGTGGCGGCACTTTGACGAGCGGTTCGAGAACGTCGTGCTGCCCGCGGTCAAGACGTACAGCGAGCTGCATGGATCGTGCGAAGCCATCTCGTCGAGCTTCCACGTGCCGTCGCATGCGCCGTGGCCAGAAGCGACGTGGGGCCTCAACCTCGGGGGTACGCTCTGGCACATTCGGAATGGCGACTCGTACATCATGGACCCCAAAAAGCTCCGCGCGCTTCGTAAATTCCGAGGCCTCGTTCTGTAATAAGGTTTGAACGCTCGCACGATACCATTCTTTCAATTAGCGCAAAATACAACTAAGGCGGCCTGGTGGTGGTGCGACTAATGCTGGTGGAGACACTTTGGACCCTCAATTTTCCTAGAGATTGGAGCAAAAACGTTTGTCGGACGTTCGACTGCTTCACCTGACGAGCATCCGTCGGCGGTTTTCTGGTTCTTGCGCGCGTCGAGCAGTCGCACGTTCGAAGATTGCAACTCTGTTCGATAGCAAGCGACCTCATGGGACCGAGAAGGACCAAAGCGCCTCCTAAGATGTACGCCAGTAGCCACATCACAGCATCGCCGTATAAAAAGAAGAGGTATTTGCACGACAACCAGCGTCCATGCCCCTCGGATTGTCAAGTCGCCGCCTTTGTTTCCTAAAAACCAACGTTTCGGTTTCATAAAGTGCGCAAATCACCCGATCCATCGCTCTAAGATCTATGCGACAACACGAGTCTTATGGGCAGGGAGTCGTGCCAGTCGGCGTTTCACGAGCTCCCACCATGGCATCCACGTGGCGAGCGCGGACGACGGCGTACGTCCTCGACGCCTTTTCGTTGGCACTTCTCGCCGGCGCCGTTTGGCGCACGCCGAGTCTAGTCGCGACAATGTACCTTCTCGGCAGCGTCGCTGGCTGCCTCACATCGTTTGCGCGCCCAGCACTACCGCCAATGGCCGCCGCGGTCGCCGCCGCATCGTTGGTCGGCTACTGTATGGCGGCGGGGTGGCCCCTTGCGCGCGCCAACGTCTGGTTCGCCTTTGCCGGCGTCAACGTCAGCACCGGCAACATCCTCGTCGACGTTGCCATTGCCGTCCTCGGTCTTGCGCAGACCGTTCGCCAGCGACACGCGTCTCCGTATGTGCGAGCTCCATCCCGCGAAGACTCATACGGCGTTCTAGGCGGCCACTGCAGCGTCAGGTGTCGGGTGTCGCGATGCTGGCGTCGCTCTTGGAACGACTGCCTGCGCTGCGCAACGCAGTGCATCGTCTCGACGCACACATCAACCTCCAAGCGCTTGTCGTGCTGCTCAACCAAGCTATCATTGGCGGCTGCCTCTTCGTTGCAGCGTTGGCGACCCCTGGCGCCCTCGGGGGCGTCTACTATCTGTTTGGCGTCGGGCGCGTTGTGCAGTGGACCTTTGTGACTACCATGATCCCACCGCTGCCGCCGCCTGCGGTGGTCGCCGCGCCGCCACCCCGTATCATTACCACTTTGCACAAAGCTCTCGAGCTGCATATGAGCTACACTGGGATAACGACAACAAGCCCTCGGCGACGGGCCATTGGTGTCTACATCCAACGTACTCGTGTCGTTGGTGTCGACGCGGAGGTGATGTGTGCGTGTAGGCGGCGATGAATCTGTCCTTGTCGGCGCAACCGAGACGCAGAGCGTCGAAGATGTCAACGCAACCTTCCACGTCCCCGTCTCAGTCCCTCTCGAGACCGACGAGGTCCGCTTTGGAGACCACTATACCAAGACCACGGTTGATGTAGGCTGTGCAGCTCAAGGCCGTCGTTCTCGCGTCGGCCTCGGACGGAGCATGCATCGAGAACATGCGGCGCGTGGGTCAGTGCACGTTCCGATCCTCGACGCTGCTCGCCAAGCACGGCAAGTCCGACGCCCGATTCCAGCTGCTCGCAAACGGCGCGGGGTGCGGCCACCTCGGCGTGCGCTACCAGACGACCACGCGCATCGCGTCGACGCTGGAGGACCTGCCGTCGCCAATCGTCGAGCGGCAGCCGTCCTTTCACGCGACGCCGTTGGCCGAAGACTTTTTCACCGACGCCAACATTCCCGTCTTGCTGACGATCAATGTCGTGTGCCTCCTCTGCGCGTAAACCGCTACGTTTGTGAACATACACGCCTCACATGCTTGGTAGACACGTCTACCAGTATCCGCTCTGGGCCACCATGCCGCTCACCGAGCGCGCCGGCGAGATCCTCGGTCTCCAAGTACATGTACGTCGTCAGTGCGTTGCATTGCAGCGTTGATCTCGTATCGGTAGCGCGAGGCAAGCACGCCCTACGTGTCGATAGCCGCGCAAGTCGGTTTGTTTCTCAGCGCCGCCAAGCTCCGGTCCTTCTACATGCACGCGCGCGCACCGGCCGCCAACGCGCTCGCGTCGAGCTTGCCCGACGTCGTCGCCAAACTCTTCTGCTACGACCTCGTCGCGGTCGTCGTCGCGGTGTTTTGGTGCATTTCGTACCCGTCGTACGTGAGCGCGGGTCTCTTGGGCATCACGTTTGCCTTCCTCGGCGTGTACGGCGTCCAGGGCACGTCAACGCCACTACTTGTGCTCATGACAAGCTACAGCCTTGCGTACGCCACGTCGGCGTACCTGCTCCTGCTCCCTTGCGTCGCATCGGCACTGCCAACGTACTATGCGACATTAGGCTACGACGACATGGATCTGGGGCTTCAAACGATCTGCGCACTTGTGCTCTGCGGCTGCCATCGGACGCGGCGTGTCTGGCATCATCCAGCGCCACGTTCAACATCTGCGGCCGAGGGTCCTGCCGACGCCACGTCGCATTTTGCTCGCTGGTTCGAGGACATGCGGCTCATGGCGCTCTGCCACGTCGACAAGATGGTGCTGTTTACCATTTTTGGTACGTAGCTGCTTGCGAAGGATGCGATAGAGACGTTATTGTGTCTGTGTAGTCGTCGTGCTGAGCACGGCCGCGACTTTGTTCCAAGCCGGCTTTCTCATCCTAGCGACGTACCTCTCGCTATACAAAACCCACCGCCAGCGGCTCTGGCGCGGCCTTCTTCTCTACTCGCTCGCGATTTGCTTTGCGGTCTACGTGTGGAACATAACGTGTCCGACGCCAACGACCGATGCAGCTCTCTACACCATCGCCGGCCTCAGCTGCTATCGCGACACCAAAGTCACGATCCTGCCGTCCACGCCACGCCCAATATCTGCCGACACACCGACGCTGGAGCCGATTCTCTTGACGTCGGCGCCTTTACCATCCACCCTCTCGGCACCTGCAACGACGACGGCGCCGGTGCCAACGGTGACACCGACGCCGACGCCATTGATTATTCTCTACAATGGCAGCGGCAGCGGGAATGCGCTAGGCATGGTCATTGAAGTCGGTGTCTTTAATACGACCGCACCGCGGCTTGGGAGCCTCTGGACGTCCTCGCTTTTCAACGCGCAGCTGCTGCTCATCGCCCAAGTCGTCGCTCAGCTCGTGCTCTATAACAAGCACATTCATTTACGGTAGCCGCTGTGTCCTTTGCCATGTGGAGCGTAGGTGCTCACTCGGGTTGACTAGTGCGATCACGGGTAGCAAGCGCCCGTGGTTTTATGTGTCTCGGTTTGCCCTGGAGATTGACCGCGCGTACCGCCTCGTTGGTGTCGCCGTCAACTACGTTGTGCTACTTGCCGTCGCCCTCGTGTACGAGCGCACGAGCGACGGACGGTATGCGACGGCCGTCGGCTGCGTCCAGCTCCTTCTCTTGGCCGCGCTTCTCGACTCGCACTTGAGCAACTTGACGGCTTTTCCACGGGGCACGCCCCACTACCGCCGGCTCTGGCGGCTCGTGCTAGTCGTCGAGCTCGTTATCCTCGTGCTGCGCTACGTCTACCAGTTTGAGCCAGTCGCGGACGCGATTTTACGCAACTGGAGCTTCCCGTACTGCAACATGGAGGACATTGGCTTTCGCAGGCTAGCGTCCCAGACGGAGCTCTCGGGGCTTTTCTTGTACCTCTTGCCCACGTGCGCGGTACACAGCATTCGACTCGATGACCAACGGACTCATGGCAACACGTCTAGATGGCGGGGCTGGCGGCGTGGCAGCTCGCCGCCATGGACAAGGCCATTCACGTTCACAGTGTGTTTCGAACGCCAACGTGCGCAGCCTACTGGCAGTACACACTCTGTCTCATCCACGGCGTCTCGCACAGCTGCTTTCTCCTCGTCTTTCTTGCAGCCATCCTGGCGACCGTCGACATCAGCGCCGTCGGCTTGGCCTTCTACTTGATTGCGCTCTGCGCGACGCCCAACCGCCGGTTCGATGCGGCGTGGCCATACCTCTTTTCCCTTGCGCTGCTCGTACTCGTCGTCTTGTACAGCGTGCAACTTCGACTCGACATTTTCGCAAACGCCGATGTGGCCGCGACGCGACGCTGGTTAGGGTTTGCCCGCCTCGACGACTCTGCGGGCAACACGACGCTCTGGCGACTCGGTCGCGCGCCGGTGCTAATGCTCGTGCTCTGCAGCTTCCAGCGTGTCGCCTCTTGGCTCGTGCCCGACTCATTTACGCCGCCACCGGTCGTCGCCAGCTGGGTCACGATACTCTCACGGCTCTGGACGCGCCCGCTGGCGATCAGCGTTCTCCTCTTCGCGCTCGTCGTGTCGGCGTTCGTGCATCTCAACGTGCTTTCGCTTGGGTATCTGCTCGTCGTTCGCGCGGTGCGGCACGCCGACTGGACCAGCGACGGGCTGTATCTGCAGCTCTTGCGCCGCCTCACACCCCTCCTCATGTGTATCGCGATAGCGCAATATGCACTTATGCTGTGGGTACCGTCGTGGCTCCTCGCGGCGCAGAGCAGCTACTTGCCCTGGTCGGCCTTGTCACCCGCTCTGCAGCAGTGGCTCTTTCTACGCTTCCAGCACAAGTGGTCGCTCGTCACGGACTTCTCGTGCATGTTGTGTCTCGCCTTGCTACCGCGGCCGTCGGCGCTGACCGCGATCGCGTCGCACCCAGAGAATATGCAACGACCGCCGGCCCTTTGGACGACCCTCTCGACGCTTGTGCTGCACTACTCGGTGCCCACCGTGCTCGTCTACGTCTTTGTCACGGGCTGTGCGCAATTCGGCGTTGCCTCTGGCGTGTACCTCGCCTACTCGATCTACCTTCTCTTCCATTTGGACCGGAGCGACTTGCAACCCAAGCTATTGCGATCCCTCATGGGCTTCAACTGGCTCTACCTGATTGCGCTCCTCGTCTACCAAATGCCGTGGCTTCACGACACGACGGAAGCATGCAACCTCGGCACGCGGTCCGCGTCCAACGGCGTCTGCCTCTCCGTCCCCGTCTCGCTCGGGCTCTACAAGGCAGGTACGGCAGTAGGCACCTCGGACGCGGCGTCGCCACCGACGCTGTCGATTGTGATGTTTCTCGTGCTGCTCTTGCTGGCGCAGATCCTCGACTCGCCAGCGTATGCCGATGTTCTCGACGTACCGACTCCCTCTCGATTCTTCATTCTCCTTGACGATGGGACGTGTCATTGTAGTATCATCGGAGTCAGCTCGAGCGGTGTCAGAAGCGCGGGTTCCTTCTCAACGACGCGATCGCAAGAGATCGCATTCTACAGTGGCGCCACCTCAAGCAGGAAAAACAGGCTGCGATCCAGCGCCTCAAAGTCATCGTGTCCAAGCTCGTCAACAAGGTCGAAGAGATGATGGACATCGCGATGGGGTAGCCATCGATTTCCTTGCGCTTTCTTGATTCTTGGTTGATATCAAGTTGATACAAATGTATGTCTAGGCTGCACTATTCGCTACCCCCCGTCGCCCCCGCGCGCCCGCGCGTTGTGGCCACGTCGCAGAATTCCGTGACGCTGCAGTGGACGCCGCCCGAGTCCAAGATCCACAAGATTCGGAGCTACCGCATTTCGCGCCAAGTGTTTCCATCGCTGACGCTGCTTGGGGACTTTGGCGACGTCGTCACGATCAAGGCGCACTCGACCTCGTGTGAAATCAGAAGCCTCCGGCCTGACACGACGTACCAGTTCAAAGTGGCCGCGGTCTCGCGCATGGGCGAAGGACCCTTTAGCGCCCCGAGTGCCCCCGCCAGTACGCGACACTTCTCCACGTCTGGCCGCTGAGTCCGACGTAGGCACGATCGCGCTCAATTGGGGCGACAGCTGCACCGGCGGCTGGCTGCGCACGCGCAAGACGGTGCCTCGGCACGGTGCTCTTTTGCGTCTCAGCACGTATTTTCCTTCGCTCCAGACCGCGCGCCACACCCTCGTAGGGCCATCCCGGAATATGCATAGCTCACCATGTACATAGCGCTACGTGGTAGTCGACGGCGACCGGCTCACGCTGTATCGAAGCGAAGTCGTGGCCATGAAGCACCGAGACGAGGTCGCTGCGCAGCCGACGCTTCGCAAGAAGCGCGCAATGCAAGCAAAGAAGGAGTTTCCGAGCTTCTGCTTGGGCCATATTGCGAGCCTCGATCTCACCGAGCACCAACACCAGCTCGACGAGATGTCGCCAAAGATGTACTGCATGGACGTGCACGTCGTCGTACCTGCACCCAAGGGCCCACCCAAGACGCGGACGTACAGCTTCCAGCCCGAGTCAATGGCGACGTTCGATACGTGGGTCGCTGCGCTGGCGTACGGCGCGCCGCCGCTTGCGTTGGGACCGCGTCTCCTCGCGTACCTCGGTAGCAAGCACTTGCAGATCCCCGCGTATTTTCTGACGCCGCCGCCAACGAGTATGCGCCGGCACTCGACGCAGCCCGACTTGCGGAGTCTCGAGAGTCCATCGTCGCGGAGCCTCTCGTTTTCACTGTCCCCATCGACCCGGCGCGACTCGCTTGCATCGGTCGTCGACGCGCCGCCGCCAGCGCGAGCACCCCAAGTGCTGTGGTTCGTGCAGTTGTATGCGATTCTCCATGTAAGGACGAGGCTGTGTTCAACATGACATATATTTGTATGGTGCGGTAGACACTACAAGATGTGGCGCTGCAGCACGAGACAAGAGCGCTGGACCTGAACCAGATCGAGACGCTCGACGTGCCAAGCGTGAGCGAGCTCTGCGCGGTGCTGGTGAACGTTCTGCGCAGCCACTCGGGGCCATTTTGCTACCTCTCGTTCATCGCCGCGTTTGCATTTCAGGTAACACGCATGGTACGTGTCAAGGGCTGTCGTTGATGGCGCGCAGGCCGACGCGCTCAATGCCGTCTACGTCGTCGCTCTCTTCCTCGTCGTGCTCTGCGAGAACCCGCGACCGAGCGCCTACCTCTGGAAGTGGATTCTCAAATACGTATATTGCGTGTTTTGGCGTCATTTTGAGGATGCTCACGTCAATCCTAGTCGTTTATAGCGCTCTTTGTCCGGTATCTCTTCCAGCTACCGTTCTTTTGTCATAACTACACCCAGAGCCAACGTTTGTACCCGAGGTAGCAAGAAATGCGAGATCGTGAGGACAAGGGCTAGGGTATCTGGTGTAGCATGCAGCCGTTCTGCCCCGAGACCCAGCTCTCGCTCACGGCCGTGCCCTTCCAACCCATCGTACTTGCCGGGCTCTACAAGTACGACGGCAGCGCAACGTCGGCCGTCACCACCAAGTTTCAAGGTCTCCAGTGGACCTTTCTTGTGATTTGTGCTGTGCTCTTTCACCGGCGCGAGCTTCAGATTCGCGGGTTTTGGGTGCTGGCGCACGTCACCACGTCGAATCCGAACGACGACGACGACGATGCCGCAGCGTTGAAAGCGCTGCCGCGCTGGCAGTACGTCTGGCAGCGCTACTTGGTCAAACGACCGCTAAAGTCGGATACGAAGAAGAACGTCAATGGATCAATGGTGGCCAACTTGGACTTGACGCGGCTGCATTTAGACGCGCTGCAAGCCATCGAAGAGACCGAAGCTCAAGACAACCAAGACGATACTGACGCAAGTCAGAGCACGCTGAGCCGCCGCCGTATACGCCGGCACGACTCGACCGACTCGCTCAACGGCAACCAATTTGAACTGGCCGACTTTCTGGCCGCGTCCAACACGGCCGACGTGCCCATGACGCCAAGTGGCGACGAAGTTCCAAGTATCGAACACCATACGCGGCAGGACGCACTCAGTGATCTCAACAACCACGTGGAGCGGCTTTTGGACGAAGGACTCGACGACCACGCGCCGTTGCTGCTGCATCCGCTGTCGCCGTCGTTTGATTTGGATGACGACGACGCCAGCGACGAAGGTAGTGAAAACGACGAGACCAAGCCGAGCTCAAGCACGACGCCGAGCGAGCCGGCTGTGCCCAGCGAGGGACTGCCGAGTGGTGTGGAGCCCGTCTACATTGATGAAGCCCAAGCGCTCATTCCGCGGCCCAGCCGGTTTCAAGCGCTCTTTGGCCGCGAGGTAGAGATGTCCCGAGCGATCTATAGGAATACGCTGGTTTGTAGGCACCGGCGTGGGTGCTAGAGTACTACAAGCACCTGTTGCCGTCGCCGCCGGTCGACTGGGACAAGGACATCAAGAAGGCGGCGCTAGGTACGAAGCCCGGCCGGGACTACACGCTTGCCTCGTTTGGCGCGTGTGTTCTCTCGATGGCGTACGCAGTCCTCTTCTTCCACAACCTTGGCGACCCGCCCGTGCCAGGCGCTGCGCCGTCGTCGGCCTTGAGCTTGAGTTCGTTCAACGGCTCGATGCTCTCGGGCTACATGGTCGGCTTGGTCTTCTTCCACGTGGCAGTCATCATTTGGGACCGCGTCGCGTACGTCTACGGCTCGCTGCGCATCAAGCTGTGTTTGCACTACTTTGTCGTGCTGTGCGTGCACAGTCTCGTGTGGCTCGTGCTGCCGACCGCGACGACCACGTACCTCCCGTCGTCGCCGTCGCTGGTCGCCTACTACGGTCTCCAGTGCATCTACCTCGTGCTAAGCAGCCAGCAAATCAAGTACGGCTACGTCGTCTTCCGCGGCAACCCGCTCAGCATTCGCCAAGCCGACGCACTCACCAAGACAACCTTTGGTATCTACCTCGCGACTCCGTTTGCGTTTGAGATGCGCGCGCTTCTCGACTACATTTGCTCGACGACCGCGCTCGACCTTCGCATGTGGCTGACGCTCGAAGGCATCGCCGCACACCTCTTCCAGGTCAAGCTGGCCATGGACACCCGAGTTGAGCAGTGCGACATCTTGACGGTACGTTCAGGTGGCTGCGTCACCGTCAGTCATGCCCATACGCAGGGCAACCAGCGGCAGCCGATGAAGAGCAAGCTCCAGACGGCGGGTGTCTACTTTGCGGGTATTCTCGTCTGCCTCGTGGCGCCCTTGGCGCTCTTCAGCACGGCCAACCCAACGACAGTGCAGAATGCAGTCGTGCAGGCGTCGGCCGAGTTTGGGCTTGTCCAGAGCGACGGCACGTTCCAGCAGCTCTACACGAGCCGTACCGTACCGGCTACAGTTCAAGTTTTCATTCTAGCATTGTAGAGTCGAATACGAACCCAGCGTCCAAGCTCATATTTACATCGGCGATCGAAACGTATGCGCAAGACATAGCATTTGCCTCCTACTCGAACAACCTCTGGAGCAGCTCGCCGCCGCTGCGACGCAAGCTCATTGAGAAGCTCAACTCGACCGACGTCATTCAATGGAAGATGACATTGACGTTCTCACGCCCGGCGCCCCAAGGCCAGCAAGCGGTACGCACGTCGCAGAAGAAGCGTGCTGAGGGTCTGTAGGTGACCTATTCGTGGTTGCAGAATGTGACCGCGCCGCAGCGACAGCTCATGGCCGTCATGATGAACGTGGACGTGGCGTCGCAAGCCAGCTACGAGATCGGCACGTCGGCGACGCTGCGCATTTCAAATATGTACCCCTCGGTGCTCAACATTGCAGCGACGGCGCCGCCGCACGTCCGCGCCCCGTTTCTACTCCGCACGATCGAGGTATGCACGACGTGGAGATGGCGCCCACCAAATGCTGGTGTAGATCCGGCGGTTTGCCGAGGCGTCGAGTGGCAGCTACTGGTCCCTCGTCTCGCTCGATACGTTTGCCTACACCAATGCTACGTCGTATATGATGCGAATCACCGACATGGCTCATCGTCGAAGTAGACCCGTCAGCAACGCGACGGCGATTTCGTGCCCGGCGAGTGCGGGCTTTTGCTTGATCACAGTCTCGGACAACATTGTGCCGGGCTTGAACTCGATCGGCATTGGCTCCTACGGCATCACGGCGACTTATGTCTTTGTGCGAAACATATTGTGCAATGGACAATTGGACAATATTTGCGTAGGTGCTCTTCACCATCGGCGCGCATGTCAAGAGCATCCTGCGCGGCAACGTCTCGGACATTCTGTACACGGAGCTTCCGAATCCGGACGACCTCATGGACTTGGTCGAGGTGCACAAAATTCGCTTTTCGATCCTCCGATTCCATGTCTTTGCAGGGCATTTACATTGCGCGACAAGAAGAATATGTCGGACATCTCAAGGTAATTCGACAAATTTTAGGTATCGGAGCTCATAGCAGCGAAAAGGACGAAGCCCGACTCTTCGAGACGCTCATTCGCGTCCTTCGATCGCCCGAGACGCTCCTCAAGGTCACGGGCCCCAACGTGATTCACATTCCCCACGCCAAAGAGAAAATTGATTAGCCATTTATTGCACGCGTAATATATACACATCGACACTGCAGTGTTGAAGGCGCCCCAGAGAATATCGAAGCGAGGCTGGCTTCCATATTTTTCATTTTGGCCAATCAACGCAACGACCGGAAGATTGCAAGATGCACCGCGCCGCAATGTACGGCACGTACGCTCTCGAGGTGCACGGCCAGGCGCTGCGCCGCCACCGCGTCTTTCTCTGCATCGCCATCGCAGCGCTCTACTCACTGGCCATGGTTGTCCGCATGGACCAGACGCTGCGCGTCACGTCGCTCGACGTGAGCGCCGGACCGTTTGGCTGCCTGCCCGTGCCGTCGCTCTCGGTGGCTGCCTGCCCCGCGCAGTCCGTCATCACCGTCGGTCAGAGCGTCATCAGCCGATCGATGTACCCTGGCACGACCGTCGCGCTGTGCTACACCAACACGACGATTGAGCTCACGTTCAGTGCGATGCAGCAAGATGCCTTCTTCGTCAAGCCCACGTATGGCCACAACGACAACATTTGGGAGTACAACGGTACGACGCTCTTGCAGCTTGTGTAGCTCATGCATGATAGTCATGGAGATGTTCCTTGCGCTTGGCGACGACGACCCAACGAGCTACTTTGAGTTTGAGGTCTCGCCGACCAACCAGACGTACAGCGCGTTCATCTTGAATCCGCGCAGAGATTTTAGCCCGCCCGTGGGCCACTTTTACGTCGGAAAAGACGAAGCCGAGGCACGGGCACTCGGCATCACGGCGACCACCAGTATGGACGAGACCAGCCAGACGTGGACATCCAACGCGTCGCTGCCCCTCAATCTCTTCAACGTGGTCAACCCAAAAGGCTCCGTATGGCGCATGAACTTCTTGCGCAAGATCACGTCGCCGACAACGTTCCCGCAGCTTGCGTGCGGCGCCTGGAACGCGCCCAACCAAGACAACTTTCACCTGACGTCGTGCTTTGGCCGCGTTCACTTTGAGTGAATCCAACTCATTTCGACTAACTTTGAGCAATCCGCTACTCTTGTGGGTCGGGCCAACTAAGGCTCGAGACCTCTCATCAACGAGATGAAATAGCCGACGACGGTGGTACGCTGCGTTGTAGATGCATTGCATGCACACAGCGAGGGAGTGACGGGGCGAGAGTGTCAGGTAATGGTCGCTGCACGTTCTAGCGAAGAGGACGCACGAATACTTGGTCATAATCATCCATTGAACAAGCCTAACACTCTAATATTGTCTGTATACGCGGACGCGGCGCGGGTGTCCAAAACGCGCAGCCTACGCGTCGTGGTCTATGCTACTGTACGACGCAGCAGCCGCCACTCGGCGGCGTCGGCGGCGGTGGCGCCTGCGTCGTCCTCGAGTAATGCGTCTGCTTGGAGTACGTGATCTCGTGCAGCGGCGTGCCGCTGTCTTGCTCGTCGACAAAGACGATCTTTCGCCCCGTGCGCGCTCGGTTCCACGGGTTCTCGTTCATAAACGAGCTCGACTGGCGCAGGCCCTCGGGTGTCTCTTCCTCGACTGCTCGCTCCGGCGTCTCGGTCCTCGTCTCGTCCATGGGCGCGATAGTAAGTGCTTGCTCCGATGCGACTTTTGCCATGTATCTTCGTCGTCCTTAGGCGCGTTCCATGTACTGCGATTCGCGACGAGTCTTCCGTGTCGTCTCGCTTGCGCCGCTTCAGCAAATGAAACCCACTATATTTGTATTCTGCTGCTGCGAAAACGCCTGCCTAATTCGAGGGCCCAACAGCTTTTTTTACTTGGCGCCGTTATCGCTTGCTTGCACGCGGCCAGCAGCGATCACCTTGGGTCGCTGCCACTGGCACGATATCGCTCCGTGTCGGACGACGCTTCGACGACGACGAGCTCGACATCACCAACATTGGCCTCGAACGAGAGCAGGAGCTATCATACCAATGAACCATTGTCGCTCGTCGACTGCAGTAGACGATTGCGTTAGAAGGACTTGAAGCTCTCTGGAGGCATCGACAGCAAAGAGCAAGCCGTGGTCCGGTGCGAATACGTTGGACGAGTCCCCATCGTCTTGGCCGACGTCGGGTTGGCCGAGGGCGCTGAGAATGGTGAGGTTTTGGTCTATGCCGCCGACGTTTGTGCTATGAAACGCAATATCATGGAACTCACCGGCGATGTCACGGCATTTACGCCCCGTCGCTGAGCGACAGTGAAAGCAAGACACTCTCCTCATGGCCACGAGCTTTGGCAGGAGGTCACCGAGTCGACCATTGCATCGTGCAATCTCGCCGCTCTTCTTTCTGCAGCGCGTTGGACCGCTGCGGTGATGCAACCAGTCGAGCCAATGAAAGTACATATACCATGGGAGCAGACTCGCAGCGACAAACAACAGACGCTGGGCGTGATCGAAGAATCGACAAGCCCACACCAGCGGAGCTCACAGGCATCGCAACAGCACTCGTTCCGGCACCACCGAGTTCACCAACATGCTATGAAGCTCCCGCTCATAGACTCGTATTTCTACTTTGAAGCCTTATTTGGACCGGTGCACTAATACCTGTTAACGCACCTCAGTTGGACGAACGATCTTGGATACGAGTGTTGTTGTTGGCTTGTAGCATCCGAGATGCGATCTCTCGCGGTTGTTGGGCGTCGCAAAGTGCGCGTCCAGTCCACGTCGGGAGCTCGAGCGAGGCCGTGAGAACGGGACCGCGGTACACTGCCATCGTCAACGATGCTGCGAGGACTACGCTGTACAATTGCATCCAAGGTCGTTCGAGAAACAAAGGCCAATGTGCAACCTGCGAACGTAGCCAAAAATGAGCTTGGTTCGTCTTAGCGCTGAAAGGAACGCAAAAAGACGAGATATAAGTAGGTTGTCACTGCGGTCGACCACATCATGTTATCCAAATCGATAGAATGATGCTAGCGAGCACACCGCGGCAACGCTCCCAACAGTAAACGATCGGGCTCCCCAAGCAGCGAACTGGATCAAGAGATCGCTTACTTGTTGGCCTTGGCGGCCTTGTGGCGAGCGATACGGCGGCCGACACCACGGACCTTCTTGCCGCGGTTCTTCGACTCCTTGATCTGCTTGCGCGAGGTCTCGACCTTGTCCTTGAGGCCTTGCTACGAAACGAAACAAACGCGCATGAGCCTATCTGTCCATGGAGTTTCATGCGTTGGACAGGACGCAGTGCGTGGCATCATCAGCGTCATCATGCATCATCACATCGAGAGAGAGATCCAACAATGACGATGCCACGTCTGCCGATGACCAAGAGGCAATTAGTACGTACGCGAATGAGGCGGTACTTGGGCTCGAACTTCTTGGCATCGTTGACCGTGTCGTAGATGAGGCAGAAGCCCGACGACTTGCCACCGCCGAAGGCCGTGCGGAAGCCGTAGAGGAACACCGTGTTGGTGTCGGCGATCTTGTACATCTTGGCGATCTTCTCCTGGAGCTCGGCCTTGGGCACGTTGGCGCGGCCCGGGTGGAGGACGTCGACGAGCATCTGGCGACGCGCGAGGAGCGCGTTGCGGAGGAACTTGCGCGTGCGGACGGTGACGGGAGCCTTGTCGGACATTTTAATTGGGGAAAATGAGCGTTTACCAATAGTGAAAACTCCCTCGGACCAAAGCGCAGAGGCCGCAACTCCAAACCAATCAATTCGGCGCCGTCTGTGCCAGCCAACCCGCGAGCCCGACCTCTCTTTGTTAATATACGCATAAACCTGTCAGAGTACATACTCCGGCTTTTGATTTATCCGGACACCGGCGCAAAGGCGAGCCGCGCTGTCTTTCCGCGTGATCTCGGGAAATAGGTGCGCATACAAAGTGCAAGGTTCGTATCAGAAAGGCCCGGTGCGCGTGTCACGCAAGCTGCACGTTCGACTACGACTTGCGTCACGTCTGGCGTTGGGAGAGTATTTGCCAATTCGCCGCCAAAGACGACGACGAGCATGTCCAAGGAAGGGTACCTCATCCGCCACGGGTCGACTGTCTCGGAGATCGTCTATGTTGTCCTCGCCGACGGCAAGGTCCGCTTCTACGACGAGCGCCACGGCGCGTTCATTGACGAGATCGGGCTCTCGAAAACCAAGTTGAAGATCCGCGGCGCGACGCCGGCCGAGGCGTACCAGTGCGACCACAGCTTCCACGTCAGCGTCTGCCGCACGCAGCTCGTCAACGGCCGGCAAAACCCGATCGGGACGCCCGAGAACTTTATGCTCTCGGCGCCGTCCAACGCCGAGCGCAAAGAATGGGGCAACGCGATCCACTCGTGGCAGCGACACTACTGGCGCGAGCCGCAGCACGCGTCGCTCAACATGAATGAGGACGAAGAAGAAGCGTACTTTCGCACGCAGTACCATTACCTCTACGACCTCCTCAAGGGCTCGCTCCGCGGCAAGTTTCTCACCAAGCGACGATCGCTCTCGGCCTCGAACCGCGACGAGGTCGGCCCGACAAAGGCCCATATCCCGCCCAAGACGGTCGATATGTCGTCGCTTCCTATCTCCATGTACTCGTACCAGCAAAAAGTATGCTAAGACCCCAATATTATCTGTGAATTAACAACAACAATCATCAACTATAAGCTTTTCCTTGCATGTCTAAGAAATAGCTCGTCTCTGCGCTTCGTCCTTCGTTGCGCAGCCGCCAAGAAGTATCTGCCGATTGCCCGGGTTGCGATCGACGAAGGCGCTGCTTGTTAGGTGACCGGCGCCAAAAGCTGCGCCAAATCTTGGCAAGTGATGTGCGACATGCCATCGGGTTGTCTGAGGACCTCTTTAACATGATATTTACAGACCTCTCAAAGCGAATACGTTGCACCAGAGTCGCTTTGTTATTTTCGAGGCCGAACATGCTGCGCCACGGACCCTTGAAGCTGACACACCTTGGCCGGTACGACAGCGAGGTTATCGCAGCGAATTGGCGCTCATCCTAGCCCTAGCCTTGCGGCGCGAGCGCAGAGCACGCTCGCCCACACGATCGTCGGCGGCACGACGCTGGATCCCTCCAAGAAGACCATCTTTATCATGCATGGCATTCTTGGTAGACGTCTGCTCGCGTGGCACCTCGTGGCTCATCTCTGTTTGGACTAGGCAACAAGGGCAACTGGGGCACGTTCTGCCGACGGTACGTTCGCACTGAGAAGAGAAGCTCCAGGGGCGGCCTGTAGCATCGTTAACACGTACCCGAACTGGCAAGTCGTCGCGATCGACCACCGCGGTACGCTCTATGAACGCTGACCCTGCATAATTGTGCGCATATTATTAGCCCACGGCGAGAGCCCGTCGTTTAGCCCGCCGCACAACCTCGGCGCGTGCGCGCAAGACGTCATGTACGTGTCTTCTTCATGTGACGCGTGGGTGATCCTGCTGCGCTAGCGACCTCTCGGATGCACTTGACGTGACGCCGGACGTTGTCGCCGGCCACTCGTTTGGTGGCAAGGTCGCCTTGACGTACCTCGACGCGTGCCGTCGCCAGCACCGCAGCGTGCCCCGTGACACGTGGGTCCTTGACGCATTGCCCGGCTGCGGTACGCACCCAGTCATCCTTGGGTGATTGACTTCACGACGTCGTAGCGCAAACCGACTATGTGGCGCGAACGCAAGAGGTCAGCTTTAGCTCGACGGACCATGTGCTTCCGGCGCTTCTCAGCGTGCCGCTGCCGATCAAGTCCAAGCGCGAGCTTGTCGCTGTCCTCGAGGCCAAGGGTTTCGAGACGGGCCAAGCGCAGTGGATGACGACCAACCTCAAGCCGACGGCCGTCAACGCCGACGAGTTTGAGTGGAAGATGGACCTCCCGGTGATCGACGTGCTCTTCAAGGCGTTCCTCGCCACCGACTGCTGGCCGATCTTGGCGCACCCGCCGCCAAGCACGTCAATCCACTTTGTCCGCGCCGAGTACAACAAGTTTTGGACGCAATCGGTGCTCAACCGGTTTGACGCGCTGCCGTCGCGCGACCGCGTCCACGTGCACTTGCTGCCCAAGTCGGACCACTGGGTGCACGTCGACAACCCGTCCGGGCTCTTTGCGCTCGTCTCGGCGAGCTTGGCGGCGTAGAGTGTAGCATCGCAGTCAAAAGTGAATCATTGTATTCTCCACTCGTCTTACGAAGTCGATAATTCCCCAAAAGCTAGTGCAAGCATGGCAAAGTACAGCGTCCAACAGAGACGAACGAGAGACACGGGTATCGCACGCAGTGGTCGAACGACGGTCCATCATCCCCCATTCATCAAAGTTAACGCATCGCTTGCCTTGCAGATTCGCTGCGCGCTTACAAGCCGAGCTTGGTGCGGCGCCAGTGGCGGCGCTTGGCGTTGTAGCTACAAGACGGATGAGCCATTCTGCGTGCACAGCCATCCTGCCACTGTACCGGATCGTGTTGCCCGTCTTGAGGCGAATCCACTGGGGAATCGGGCGGTTCTGCTTCATCTTCTTGGCGAGGATGGTCTTGGTACGGAACGACTTGTGCGAAGGCTACCATGCTCATGAGCGCCTACTCGTAGCGCTTCCGCGGCCGACGTACCATGTTCGAGCTTTTGAGGAAAAACTAGGAATGCTTTTTGGACTAATACTTCTGGCCAGTGAAAGCAGGCCATCATTCCACACCAACCACTTGCGCCGCTGCATTTCGCACTGTTTTTAAAATACCTTTGGTTTTCTATTGCCAGGGACGTATTGTTTTGCGCTGTATTTTTTATTTCACTACGTCGCATCCGCATACAAACGAGTGGGTATTAATATAAATGCGCTGTTCGCCAATCAAATGGTGCATCCGTTGTCACAGGACTATCCGGACAAACGTATACGGACAACCGGTATGTCCTTTTAGAGACTCAAGATGGCGCCACGAGTAGCCGAGATGGCGACTTGTGGAGAGGACCGCGGTGGCCGTCTGAAACCAAGAACGACTGCGAAGGGTTCTCAGCGAGAGGTAGAATCCTTGGCGAGAAGCTTCCAGCACTTTTGCTTGCACGGTCGCGTCCTCTTCCTGCACCACCGCACTGACGGTGGCGTGATACCCTGGACGGCCGCTTGCCGCTGATTCTTGGGGTGGTTGGACATATCAAGTAGCAAAGATTCATGTATTCGGATCGCTGGAATACGATTTAGAGCGCGGCAGCCAAAACGACGACAAGGGCCGCAATTAGTGACAGCGTTGTTTGTGTGGCCGCGCCGGTCTTGTTGGTATCACCCGTCGTGCTGCCCGCTTTGTCCGTGGCCACCTTGGCGCAGAGGGAGCCCGTGTACCCAGAGTTGCACTTGCAGACGCCTTCCGTGCTGCAGACGCCGTTGCCACTGCACTGGTTCGAGGCCGCGGCCGTCGAGTCGCATTGCGAGCACTGGGGACCTTTCGTGCCCGACGAGCAGCTGCATTGCTTGGAAGTCGTATCGCACGAGTTGCCCGAACCGCAGCTTCCAAAGCTGTCGCACACGTTGGACGTCGCGACATTGCAGTTGTCCGAGGACGAGAAGCCTTCGTTGCAGAGGCACTGGTATTTGCTCGAGAAGGCGACCGTCGGCGCGCATGTGCCGTGGCCGTTGCACAAAGCGCCGCCGCTCGTCGACGTGTTTCCGGCGCACGTGTCCATTTGCGTCGTCGTCAAGTTGGTGATGGCGCCGAGGTTCTGCGAGACGTAGATGCCCGAGTCGACGCACTTGTAAATGCCATTGACGATCTGGGAGACGTTGTTGGCCGTGAAGGTCGCCTGGTAGCAGTTGACGTTCGTGGAGCCGGCCGCCGAGCTGGCCGTGGACCCGTCCTTGATCGGGTTGACGCAGTTGGTGACATTGGTGAAGGCGCAGACCGGCTGGATCTTTTGGAACTTGGACGACCATGAGCTAAATGTTGGGCACTTCCCGGGCGTGTTGCCACCGCAGGTCGTGCCAATGACGCACTGCGACGCGAGCGTGATGCCAGCGATGGCCGACTGCACGGCGACGCACGTGTAGCCCGAGCCATACTGCGCGCAGTCGGGCGTCGTCTTGCACTGGCCGGGCTGCTGCGCGGTCACCAAAGTGGCAGCGAGCAGCGCAATCAACGATGTCGACTTCATGTTTCGTCAAAGAGCAAATTGCGCAATGCACCAAAGAAGAAGGTTGGACGCCGCCAAGCGAAGGATCGCGGCCGAGCGCTTCGATTGGCCACAGTTTTGTTCGCGCGTCGCTGATTGGGCGTTGCGAGTGCTATTGCTCGATTCGAGCAAAAGAGGGTTAGCCAGCTCGTCGCAGAAGCCGCGTCGGTTGCGGACGGAAGCCGCGGAAAATTGTCGCGGCCTCGGACTCGGCCAAATATGTTGTCGCGTGAGGACTGACGGGCCATACTGAGGCCAAGAGAGTCGTGTTGATCAGTCGTCCATCTGGTTGCTGGCGGCAAATAGGCTCAAAGCAACGAGAAACGAGCGACCAACCATCGCATAGTCGTTGCGCCCAAATCCGTGAGCAGGTTGGCACAAATACTGCTGAAACCGATTTCACTCAAATAACAAAGGTCGCTGAGATCTGAGTGCCTCAGCATGAGCAAGAGCAGTCCCGTGGTTGTTGTCCAAGTGGGTCGTCAAGTGCAGTCCCGTGGTGAATCACAGCAAAGCGAACAAAGCACGTTTGATACCCCTTGTTACATGTACCAGAGCAAGCAGCCCAAGCTCGTCGTCGAGCGAGGCTTCAAGTCGTAGTCTTTGCTGATTTATGAGCTGACGTGGCGCGATTTTGCACACTCGTTGTCATGCCGTGTGTGACAACCATCACAAACAATATCCACCGACACGACAATGGATGCAGTCCCGTCAACGTCGTCCCTTATGCCTCGAGTGATGGCGCCCCAGCTAACGTATTGAACATTTGTACTTGCCCATTAAGAGTTAGCTTTGGCATCTCACTTCTTACTCGTAGCCAGGGCTTGAAAATCGCGACCAAGATAAGTATGCACAAGGGTTTGATGTCTTGGTCGTGAACCACTAGTACCTCGAGTCCTACCGATGAGTAGGACGTAAGAAAATGCAGTTGAGGTTACGATCCCATTTGGCACCAGCCAGCGCAAGGGCTGAAGAGCGACGTTTGGGCCCTAAAGTGGTTGCCACAACGGCAGACGCACATCCCTGTAGACGTTTTTCTCCTGTGTCAAGTGCGCCTTGCACATCGGTCGTCTGGACGGACGAATTGATGCCAGCGGGCCTGACGTGTTGGGTCCACCAACCAGCGTTTGTGCGGAGATGAGCTGGCGCATTACAGGTACAGATGTCCTCCGTGCTGTGCCATTTGGATCGTGAGCCTTTCTTTTATGTGGTGTTATCGTGGTGCAGGGGAGACGGCCGTGTGAGTATCTCGTCTGGCGCCAGACCAGACACGCACGCACCAGATGTGTTTGGTTCTGATGCTTCTGTCCACACAAAACCAAGCCCGACGACCGTAGCTCACCAATCGCAGCGCGTCAATGACACTTCGCGTGGAACATCCGGCAGCTCAGAAGTGCCATTGCAATGGCGTACTTTCGAACCAGTGCGCAACCAACAGTGGTCACCGCTCGTAAGTGCAAGGAGGCCGGGCGTTGCCAACGCTTTCGTGCAAGGCAGCGTGTACAGCAACTCGTAATGCCGACAGTCGATAGCATTACGGCCCGCTACTGCGCTCTGGTCGTGCAGGGTGCCCGGTAAAAGCACTGGATTGGTCGGCTGCTCATGGGACAGACTCCTTTCGTGTTGACAATCAATAGTGCTGTTCCGGTGGCTCGGCTCCAACGCGTCATTGATTCCTTGAAGCCGATGATAGGCAAGCTTCTCTCTTCACGACTGGAACAGGGTGGAACGCTGTGCAGCAGCCTACCTACACTCAGACCCTGCACTAGCACCGAGAAAAAGCGCGCGCTGCAATCCGAAAAATACACTGCTTCGTACAGTGTACGTCGCATACAAACACGAGTATAAAGATGATCCGACTTTCCTATCCGGATCCGGATACAGCAAAATATCACTGCGTTGAGATTCGGCGCCGCGCGAAGAGGCCGCGGAACGCGCGGCGACAGTGCTCGCAAACGTGTGGCATAGAAGATTATCGGATGGGTACCTCAACTAATGGAGACCAGGATTACATACTTCTTGACCAGACCCTTGTCTGCGTAATGGTCATTTCCCAATTCGCGCCGAGCATGACAAAGGGCGTTCACATCAACGTCAACGTGCAGTACAAGGCGCTGCCCGGCGCCAACGTCGCCAACGTCATCCAGGTCTTCGAGTCGACGACGTGGGCCAACTTTATGGTCACGTACATTGGCCCGCACCTCAAGGCGTACACGCCCACGAGCACGACGATCCTCGCGCAGCTCCCGTCCTGGCAGGTCGCCGCGTCCGACGATGCGTGCGTCATTTGCATGTCACCGATGGACGATGACCGCATTGCGCTGCCGTGCCAGCACGCCTTTCATCACACCTGCATCCGCGAGTGGCTCTCGCGCCGCAACACGTGCCCGCACTGCCGCCACGCGTTCGAGAAGGAGCTCTCGGGCAAGTACGCGGTCTCGCGCCTCCAGACCACGCTGCTCCTGAACGACACCATCACTGCCTCGGCCTCTGTGCACGATGAGCCCGTTGGCGGCCAAACGATGAACGCAGTCGTGCAGATGACCCTCGTGCAGGCCGTGGACGCGACAAGCGCCGCCTGCGACGTTGTGGTGTGTGTGCAGGCCGAACGGCTAGCCGGCCCGTCGTCGCCCCAGAAGACAAGGAAGCGATCCTTATCGACGTCGGACGCCGCCGCGGCGCTCAAGCGCCTCCGCACGGGCTAACTTGCACCCGCTGCCCGACCCATGTAACTCTAGCCACGACGTTCTTGTCGTACGACTGCGCAGGACGTTCCGCGCACACCTGATGCTCGTCCACGGCGCCCATTTTCCGCGCGCACTGTAGTTTAGACATGTCTTTTTGCTGTGAGGTAGCATACACTGTTGAACAATAGACACGATTTCCCTTGATGGACGTGGTGGTTGTCCGATCGAAGACCATCGGCGGCAAGGCAGCTAGCTGGACACGGCCGAGGATGAACGATTGGATGAGTCGCGGGGTGGTGGGCATGGGTGCTGGCCACTGGACGCACACTCGTACAGTGTATGCATTGCCAGCAGCGAGCAACACTGTTTCAGCGGGCTATTAGTAGCATCCGATGCCGCTCCTTCAAGCGGACGCAAAGAAAAGGCGCGCATTCACCCAATGCGGCAGATCATTTGGCCGCAGTGGGCAGTGGAAGATTGCACTGCAGAGAATGATAGTGGCAGCACAGCACAACTCCGATCGACCGACCTTTCCGCCGGGCGAACGGCCAGTCTTGCATTGCAATCGCGTATGATTGGCCAAAAACCCACCAATCCGACGGTCGTTTACAAAGACGATGACGACGGTGCTGGCCGACCTCGTTGTCGAGTTCCTCGAGGTCGGGGTCCACGAATTCATGTATGCTTCTCCTGCTTGCTGCCACCGCTCACGCCCCTTGCTGTAGCTATGGCTGGCAAGTCTACCCGCCAGGTACGGCGGTCTTCTTCGCACATCTCTTCAATTTCCTTTAGAGCTCTTTGAGCGTTGTCAAAAATACAGCGTGCCCGTGCATGTGTGTCGTCATCCCGCGCTTGGCGAGTACATTCACACGATGCTTGAGAGCTGTCGCGCGTGGATCGTCGACGGGCGACTGGACAAGCTGCACGTCGCGATTCTTGCAGCGTCGGGCGAGGTCCTCGACACGTGCGTCTTTGAGGTCGGCGTCCACGCCAGCGCCAAGGGTGAGATGCCGCTTGTGGCAATTGAAGAGGCCTTTCGGAAGGCACTTGTGCACATCGCGTCGGCGCCAGCGGTGGCGGTCGCACCGGCGGGCACGCCGTTCACCAAGTCGTTTCGCTTGTATGTCGATACCTACGAAGAGAGCGCGGCGCCCGAGACAAGGGTCCAGGAGGAGCTGCAAAATTCGTGGGTGCTTACGCCAGACGAGCCGTATGTGCCAGGTCGAGCGCTGTACCCAATAGCGTCGACAGCATCCGCGCTTCCCTTGCGCCTCAACGTCTACGTCGTCCGAGAGCCGCCATTGACGGGCGAACCCAGTATGGCAACGACGCCGTGATGTAGCATTACGCGCCGAGAAACAATCCAGCCAAGTTGAACTTTGCGGTAATACTGTGTATGTACAGTGTAAAAGACACTGTATGGAAGAAAGACACCGATGTACTAGTACGGTACCGGAAGTGTAGTAGCAGTAGTAGCAGTAGCATGCTTTGTAGCGAAGATTTCTTCTCTGGGTGGCTGCCCGAGCCCCACAGAGCCACATCGCGATGCTGAATCAAGGTATCACGATGGCTACCGGCACCCATGCTGCGGCCAGTGTACCGTACAGAATCTGATTTGCGAGCGGCTTTGATCGTTGTTGGTGGCCTCCAGCGCGAGCCTCAACGATTGATCACCAGCAGACTGCGAATAGCGGAATGTTGAGCACTTCACCGCAAAGCGCAATCGACCTACGCACCCAAGACCCTGTAGTCGCTTGGTCTGCACTTCAACTACCACAATCCCATACAGTGTATTGACCACCCGCTGCTTTGGCTACAAATTTGTGAGGAGCAGCTCGCTCCGTGCAACTGCTGCACAACCCAAGCAAATGGAGCATGGAGGTCAGTCTGCAGAGCGCTTGTCGAATAACCAGGTGCAACTTTCATTCATTTCCCTGTAGTCACACCAGTTCTTGTGGGTGCTTGAGTCGACGCCGTTGCCGTCACCAGCACGCTACACGACACCTAGCCCTGTGAGCTCGAGCCAGGGACTGCCAAGCTACAGGGAAGAAAGGACAGCACGTTGCTACGGGCGCTCCACGCATCGGTCTGCCCAACCAGGCGCACAGCAAACCACGGGTCTCGGTTGCCTCGTTTGCGCGGGTAACGGTTGAGCAACCGGATGGCAGAAGAACTGCCGACGATTCCGCGTGTGGCTGGACCGATGAGCTTTGCGAGTGTGTCGGCCGTGTACCAGGGCCCACATTTGGCTTCAATCGGCGGATTCGCTGCATGGCGAGTAGCGTTCTTGAGTGCTGCGGGCGACCTGCGCCTCGCCAAGTACTACACGAACCCCAACTATGAAGACGCGGTCCTGACCGACCTTATCTCCCCGGCCAAGACCCATCTCTTGACGAGCCGCGCCGAGTGCGCCGAGCCCGAGGTGCCGAGTGGGTTGAGCGCTCGCAAGTGGGAAAAACACATGCAACGTCGCCAGGCCCGCGTGCAGGAGCGCGTCGCGCTGGCGTTGACAAAAGAAGCAGCGCACTTGAAGAGTCGCGCTTTGCGCACCGCGCGTCTGTACCTTCTCTCTGCGTTGGCGCCACCGCTGCGCTCGAAAGCCAGCGCTCTCTCAAGCCCAAGCGCGATCTGGTCGTGGCTCGACACCACGTTTCGCGGTGCACCGATCCACGCGACTGGCGCGGGACTCTTTCGCCAGCTCCAGTGCGCCATGCAGATCAAGCACATGCGCGGCGAGGACGCTATGGAGTTCTTTGAGCGCTTTGAAATCGCCGCCAACGAGTACATTGTGCCGTATCTAACCGCGGCCGGCAGTGCCAGCGATGCGACGCAGTCTTACGCCGACGTGGTGGGCGACCGCTTCCGCGTCGCGCTGCTGGCCAATGCGCTGCCCCCGCATTTGCGAGACCAGTTTGAGCAGTGGCAAGCAGGCTTTGCGCACTGGGACTACACTCGCATCAAGCAGCACGTCGTGAGTCAAATGGAAGCGGCGCATCACGCAGCACGCGCTGCCAGTCCGCCGCAGGAGCTAGTGCACGACGGGCTGCCCGTCAAGAAGGAGCCGAGCTGCAGCTTTTGCCAGTCGACGAGACATTCGGAAGCAACGTGCGTGCAGCCCACCAAGGCCAGCGCTCACGCCACCGATCAGGTGCCACCTCGCAAGCGCCGCCGACAGGTCGAAGAGCCAGCTCGGATCAAGACCGAGGGACGCGAGCGGGCGATCTCCATTGCCGACTCGTCCGACGCCCATGTCAAACGACGTTAAACGATAGGGTAAACGAATTCGAATCGCGCACTTCTGCCAAATGAAACAGCAATTCGCCATCATGCTCGTGCACGTTGGCGCGATGGGCTAAACCTGTTTAAACATGTTTTGAAGCACTGCACGCTGATTCGTCACTGTCGACCAATGGCATCGCGGTAGAGGCCAACGAAATCCAAGGGATGAGCTTGGGTGTGCCAACGACGCCGCCACCAATGCTGCTTGCGGCCATCGGCGACTTTGAGACGTGGTACGTCGGCTTCCTCGACGCAGCCGAGGAGCTCAACCTCCGCGAGTACTACACGACCAAGGAGTATGAAGACCCGGACCTCGCCGACTACATCTCGCCAGCCAAGATGCACCTCATTACGACCAATGCCGAGTTTGCCGAGCCGTACTTGCACCCCGAAGAGACCGTGGCCGCGTACGAGAACGCACTCCATCGGCGAAAGCGTCTTGTCAACGACCGCATCACGGTTGCGGTCATAGCCGAGTGCGCGGCGATCAAGACGCGCGCGGCTCGGCGCGCCGCGCAGCATTTACGCTCGGCGCTGAGTCCGGGCCTCCGCGACTGCGTACGTACGCTGCACAGTCCATACGACATGTGGAAGGCACTGCGTCAGAGAAGCGAGGACGCGACTCGGGACAGTGATCTCATCGAGCTCTTCGACCGCGTATCGTCCGTGCAGGACGATCGATACGAGTCCGCGGGTGCCTTTTGCAGCCGCTTGGAGGACGCTATTGACCGCTACACCAAGGCGCTCTTTCGACCACTGGCGGCGTCGGCAGAAGGCGATGCAGTCGTCGATCGGCTCCGAGCGACCTTGCTCGCGCAGGCCGTCGGTCCCCGCTTCCACGACACCTTGCGCGACTGGCGGCTTGGCAATCCGTCGTGGGACTATGGGAGTCTAAAGCAGTGGGTTTACACACACTGGCGCCTTCCTCCGTCCCTCCAACGCTCCGAAGGGGCCGGGCAGCAGCGCAAAAGAAAGCGTGCCCTCGACGATCTCGACAGCAATGCGGCCAACCGGCACCAGGCCTCGTCGCTGCCAGTGGCCGCGACGTGCGACGAGACACAGTACATCTCGACCGCATCCGAGATGAGCGAAAACGAGGAGGGAGATGGCAGCAGCAACAGCAAGGACGACGAGGAGCAAGGCCACGCTTGGTACCTCGCTCGAGAGCAATGGATCGACACGCTCATGTCGCTTCCTAGGTGGACAGACGGCGAATGTCAGCGTCTCGTGGAGCTCGTAGCAAGGCACGGGCGGCAGTGGACGACGGTACTTCAGAAGGGCATTTCAAACAAGATGCTGCACCCGAGCCGCACCGAGGGCAGCCTTCGGGTACAACGCTCCGAATACGCTGCTGACAGCGCTCTACGATCCTTTTTGTAGAGCAAGTACACCAAACTGTGTCACCTCGAGAAATCGTTGAACCCGCAAATGGTGTCGGGCGCTTACACGGCCGCCGAGATGGCTTTTCTCGAAAAGGCCCTCGCCAAGTACGGCAACGACGCGCCCCGCATCGCGGCCAAGGCACAAGCCAGAGGCCTTTTGGCTGGCCGCGGACTCGAAGGCATATATGTACTGTTCTTGTACGAGTCCTAGCACTTGCTGATACTCGATCTCGTAGAGAAAGCTGCAGCGAATGCGCGCGGGGATGACACCCCAAGCAATCATCTAGTCGCCTTTTGGTTCGAGCCTTTTGATATACTTGCCTTTCATTACTGTGTTGCTGTGTCGTGGGTCAAGACTATGGGTGATGACAATAAGACAGGCTTGGTTCACCACCCGTACAGACATTCGAGCATCCTAGCATAAGGTCTCTATTTGAGTGAACAGACATACACGTAGCCGCCGACTTGGACTGCTCGCCGAGCTTCCCTTATTTTCTGACCGCACAATGCACGCGTCAACAGAACAATGGCGCAAGGTGTGCTCTAGTCTGTCGCCACTGCTATCGACAATCCGCGTCAAACATGACCTCTTTGCGGTGGGGTTTGGGGTAGCGACAGCTCGTGCAGCTTGAAAAACGTAGTCATTTACCCTCTGAAATCGAAACGTTTTTTCTATTGTGACCCCGTTGTACCTGTTTAAACACCTGAGTTGGCCGAACGATCTTGGATGCGAGCGTTGTTGTTGGCAATATCTTCTTTGACGATGGCAGTGTACCGCGGTCCCGTGCTCACCGCCTGTCACGAGCTCCCGACGTGGAAGCCGGCGTTCTTGGCCGCCGCCACCATGCGCGGGCTGGACGCGTACTTTACGACGCCCGACTACCGCGACCCGACCCTCGCCGATCGCATTTCGGCTGCTACGATGGACGCCTTCACGGTGACGGCCGACTCGAGACTCCTCGAGGTGTCGCTCGACCTCCGTCGTGCCGAGCGCCGTGAAGCCGAGAAGCGCCGCGCGAGTCTTCGGGACGAGTACGTCCAGAAGTCGGTGGACCGCGCTTGCACTGTGCTCTACGCTAACGAGATGCTCGCTGCAGTGCAGCTGCTCTTCGCTGCTGTTGACAGCGCCATCTCCAGCGAGTTGCTGCACGGCGCCGGCGGGCCATACGAGATGTGGGGGCGCCTTTGCACCCTTGTCAGCAGTCCCGAGAGTCTTGCAGTCGGTCTCTGCGGCATGTTTGCCCTGCGCGTCCAGGATGGCGAAGCGCCGCGGACCTTTTTTGCGCGTCTGGAGGCGTCGACGGAGCAGTACGCGCAGTCTCTCCTTTGCCACTCGTTTGGGAAAGCCCGCTGCAGCGCCGACCCGAGGTTTGAGGCGAATGTGATGGACTTGACCAAGGTCTTGATGTTTGCACGCGCCTGGCCCGTCGACGTCACGGGCTCGTTTGAGCAGACAAAGCCTCTGTCGTACGAGCTTCTCAAGCAGCGAATGATGGCGCACCTCGACGGCGCATATTGCTTTTACTGTCACTCCAAGGAACATGTCGACGCCTTTTGCTACAACCTTGCGCAGGCGCGGCAGAAGCGCACCGTGCGGGCTGGGTACGTGCTCCCAAGTGGTTCCACGTACCCATCGATGAGCGACGCTTCTCGCCTCCAAATAACGACGCGGCGCTTTTGCACAACCTGCCAGTCGACACGCCACCGAGACGACGACTGCCCTAACCGCGACAATGGACTGGCAATGGATGCACCCAGCCACGGGTCGCCAGGTGTGATCAAAGAGGAAGACGGCGTCGTGCGTGAGGATGCCAAACATGCTCAAGATACCGACGCTGCTGCCTCGCCACATGCACACGACCGAACCCCCGAGCGCGATTGGTACGAAGGGCCGGTGCTGACGGACATGGCAGACTTCCCGCAATGGAAGCCTGCGTTCCTCGCGCGCGCCGCCTTGCACTGCTACGTCGAGTTTTACACGCTGGTCGACGCGCAAGCCAACCCGAAGCTCGTCACACCCGCCGAGCTGCGCGAGGTGCACGCCAGCGCGCGTGACGCCGAGCCACAGGCACCGTCCGAGGCTACGATCGCCGACCACGACATGCGTGTTCGTCGACGTCTTCGCCACATGCGCGGTCTCTTGCATGCGAAATATGCCGCCAAGACCTACGAGGTGGGCGAGGAGGCTGCCGCGTATCTCCGATCGGCTGTCGATGGAGCGCTCCACGGCCACTTTGAAGACGCCTCGTCGCCGTTCGAGATGTGGCAAGCCCTCTTCGGAAGCTACTGCATCAGCCCCGACGGCACCAAGGCAGCGTTGCTCGAGCACTTGGCAGCAATGACGTACTCGCCGAGGTGCAAGGCCGCGCTCTTCCTCCAGCGGCTCGAGGCGGCTGTCGCGCGCTACGCAACTTTTGCGCTTCCACCAATGTCGAGCACGCATGCAGCGCTGTACCACAGCGTCGTCGATAGCCTCAAGATGTCGTTCTTGGTGCGCGCGTTGCAGTGTCACTTGCGCAGCGACCTTGCACTGTGGCTCGCCGATGTGCCCAGCGGTGACTTTGCGCACTTGCAGTGTTGCCTCCTCACGCACGCTGCGACTCTTCCCGACACGAACGCGGAAGAGGACGTCATGTTGGTGTCACCGGCGGCGACGATGCTGGCTGCCGCGTATGAGGCGACGATGCAAGAAGACTCTCTGGCGTCGCCTCTGCACCCAGTCGAGCGTCGCTCCGTTTACCTAGCCCTACAACCCGAAAATGCCGACGCGACGACGTCATTGCCGCCGATGCAGCTATCCCGCACGTCGACCCCGCCTTTGCAGGGTACGTGTGCTTGGAGCCCCTTTGAAGCCTAAGTACATTTATCGATAGAAGCCGCCGACCGGGGTTCGCCAGAGGTGCTTTTGTCCTCGGTTGCTGCGGCCACGAAGGACGCGATTTCGAAACGACGAGAAGATGACGAATCTCGTAGTCGCACCACCTGCACCTACTGCCATGGAACCCAACACGTCGACGCAGCGTGCAAGCGCTTGGCGCAGGCGGTGCGCGACACGATCGTTCGGAGCGACTACGACCTCCCATACGGCATGACGTTTCCAGAGCTTGGCAGCGATAACCTCGTTGAGGAAGATCGCCGCTTCTGCACGTACTGCCAGTCCACACGCCACTACGACAACAAGTGCCCTATGCGCGCCAAGCACAAGAAGACAAAGTGCTTGCGCCGGGGTTACGTGGCGCCAACCAAACCCAACAACGAACGGCAGCGTACCGAGCCAGCCCCATCTACGCTGCCGCTAACGACGACCAAGAAACGCCTACGCGCCAACAGTAGCGACGGCGATGGCGTAGCTTGCAACGAGTAATGCTGGCCTTGTAGTAGTTCGAACTGACCTCGCCTGCATAGGATTTGGTCGACCGACGAGACGGCGGCGCTTGAACGCTTGGTCCAGACGCATGGACAGGACTGGGACCGTGTGCTAACTGCAGGGCACCACGACAAGACGCTCTTGCCAAGCCGCACGACAGACAGTGTTCGGGTACGGTCCATGCATGCTCCTGGGCACAGGGGCTCATGTCTCTCTCTGCGTAGACCCGAATGCGCTGGCTCGAACGGCAAGGACGCGGATCGATAGCTGACGCTGGCGACGTCGGTACCTATAGCTACGACGTGCCCCATGTGACCATTTAATGCATTGTCTTCTCAGCGTGATTTGTAGTACCTTGCGCATGCGTGCTGGACTGGCGGGCGAGGCGCGATGACGTGGCGCCGGAGGCGTTGGCATCCGGATACGGTGCCAGCCTGGTTCGTCCGGATGCGATGCAAGATCGCAAAATGGAACGCCAGCCGTACACGGGCCCGCGGCTCGGGAGCTGGTCGGCCTTTCCGCAGTGGAAGGCGGGCTTCATGGCCGCGATGGCGTCCGAGCAGCTCTCGCAGTACTTCCTCAAGCCACAGTTCGAGGACCTGTTGCTCGTGTCGCCGGCGCTCGTCCAGCGCCTCCGCGACGAGGCCGAGCTCGCCGAGCCCATCGTGCCTCCGATGCTCTCAGGGACCAAGCGCGAGATGGCGACGCACGATCGGATGCTGCGCGTGCATGCGCGCCTTGAGGAAGCGATCCAGAACCAAGTCGCCCGCCACCGCGCCGATGCCGAGCGCCGCGCGCGGCAGTATTTGATCGCTGCGCTCGACACCGCCCTCGTCGACACCATGCAAGCCGCGCCGACCGTATTCGACGCATGGCTCTTCTTGCATGTGAAGAGCCTCATGCCCAGCTTGGCGCAGCAGGTCCACGACATTTCGGAGCTCCAAGAACGCACCACCGACGGTGTTGCACCCCTTGAAGCACCCATGGACCAATCTCTGCAGGACCTCTTGGCGATGCGCGGGGCAGAAGAGTCCAACGATTGGCTTCGCGCTATCGTCGGTCGACTCAAGGTGGCGCTTTCCGCAGATGCCGACAGCACGTCGTCCATCCCCACTACACCGCACATTTCGCCTTTCCCCACAAGCGCCCTCGAGCGCATGCGACCTGCACCGCCAGGCGCTAGCCTGGTGCGTCGTCCGCTGCAGCCCCTAGGAAGCCCACTGCGCTTGCAGCGATACCGTACGCTGCGAACGTCTCCGACCGCCGGGAACGCGCGTCCGATTCCCAAGAAAGCGTCGCCACAGCACAGCTTCCTGCACGTCTCCGCCAAGCCCCTGCCGTACAAGGCCAAGACGGCTGTCGACGTGGTCAACCTGGCTCCGTAAGACAGACTTGGATCCCTGCGCCTGCGACCAACTACACTATGTAGACGCAACGCGTGGTCGCCCAAAGAAACCAAGGCGCTCACCAAGCTCATGGCCGTGCACGGCCGCAACTGGGCGGCCATCTTGGTCGAAGGCCACGCGAGAAAGGTGCTTTTGCCGTGCCGAACCACCAAGTCGCTCCAGGTACATATGACGTGGCATTATGAGGATGAGGGCCCTGACCTGTATTTTGGTAGAAGAAATATTACCGCATGCCACGCCACGGAGCTACTAGCTAAGAAGACGCATCTTGACGCATCGCTATACCTTTATGCAACACGCAAGCTTGAGCGTTCCCAGAGCCTCCACTCGATGCTACACGGCGGAGTAAAACGTACGTAAAACTCGTCATGCACCGCGTAAAACCATTTAAACGTTAAATAATTGAAAAACCTGAACATAAAACGCGTTCAAGCAGATGGCGCTTGTCCTATTGGTTGCAAGCAAGACAAGATATCCCGCATGATGGCACACCGGTACGCGGGGCCGCGGCTGCAGGACGCGACCGGTATCGCCGCCTGGACGACGCAGTTCCTGGACGAAGCAGCAGCGGTTGGCCTCGACAAGTACTTCACCGTCGACGAGTACGCCGACGCGGCAAGCGCAGCGCTGCGTGTGTCGACAGCCAAGCGTCACCTCATTGTGAGCAAGGCCGAGGCCATGGAGCCCGAGGTGCCATACAATGGTCTCTCGCCGTCCGAGCACAGGCGCGCAACTCAAGCGCGACAAACCCGCGTCCAGGACCGCGTCGCAGCGGCATTGGCCAAGGAGGCACTCGCGATCGGTGCGCGCGACCGGCGGGCTGCTGAGCGCTACCTGCTCTCCGCCGTCGACCCGTGCTGGCACGCGACGCTCGCGGCCGAGTGCGGTCCGTACGCCAAGTGGAAGCGCCTACTCGCGACGCCTAGCACACCTTTGCCGCATATTCCGGCGCTCCTCGACGCCATGAGCATCACGATCCACAGCGACGAGGACTGGGCCACCTTCGCCCGCCGCTTGGACGGTCCCGCGAATACGTACGTCGACAGCATCGTCGCCATGGGCGTCGCAGCTGCCCAAGGCGATACAAACGCCATTGTGTACAGCCACAGCGTCGGCGAGAAGCTTCGATGCATGCTGTTGGCGCATGCGATGCCCCCCGGGATGCTGGACGATTCCTACCGCAACGAAGCGCAGTGGAGCTACGAGGCTTTCCAGGAGGATTTACAAACACAGTGGGCGCGCCGTACCGAGACGCACCTCGAAGAAGACCAGGAAATGCTTCTGGACGGCGGCGGCGCCTCGTACTCGACCGACGACGCCGATGGCCAAGATGCGACCACCGCCGTCACACTCCACAACACGGAGGATGAGCCCATGTCGCATGATGCAGCGTCGTCACCGACCCACCGACGCGCCAAGGAGCGGAAGAAGAAGAGCAAGTTGAAGCTGTACTGTGCGTACTGCCACTCCAAGAAGCACTCGGACGCTTCCTGCTTCCACCTCGCGATAGCGTACCGCGACAAGATCGTGCGCGAGGGGTATACGCGTCCACGCGGTGTGCCGATCCCGCTGCTGTCGGACGACCTCGTCGAGAGCAAGCGACGCTTCTGCACCTACTGCCACAGCACCAAGCACAGCGACAGCGTCTGCCTCCAGCTCGTCGACGACGTGCGCAGCGGCAGTGTCCGATCTGGGTACGCGGACCCGGATGGCCAGCTCATGCCGACGCCGGCACGCGTCAAGACTGACGACGAGAGCAAGAAGACACCCAAGCCGTTGGACACCATTGTGCCCAAGCTGGAGCTTCTCGCTAGTTCACTACCATCAACTGCTCCGGACGACAGCATCCAAGTCATGGAGCCAAACGAAGACAACCATGATGCAGCGACGATGGACGAAGACGATGACGAAGAGGATGAAGATGACGACGTTGTCATCACGCATGTACAAGAAGCGAGGTCCTCCCTCTTCCAGCATACTAGATGTATGCTGCTCACAGACGGTATGGTAGAAACAACAAATGGAGTGCGGCCGAGTGTCACCATCTCGTTGCGCTCGTGATCGAGCTCGGCTCGGCGTGGGGCGCTGTCGTCTCACGAGGCATCGCCGAGAAGACGCTGCTGCCGTCACGGACCCCGTACGGCGCCAAGGTGCGCGTGCTGTCAACCAAAAGCCTCATGTCATGGCGTCGATGGACAGAACCAGTATGCAAGGCTCGTCGAGCGCGGCTTTGCCCAGAAGGCGGTCCGCAGCGCGATGTTTACGCCGGCGGAACTTGCCTTTCTGCGCACCACGTATGCCAAGTACGGCAACCGATTCGGCGCCATTTTCAGCGAAGGCCAAGCGCAGGGCTTCTTCGTATCGCGCACCGTCACCGACATCAAGGTGCTCCTCACCACCTCGGTAGCCACTCATCCGTGGACAGGAAAAGGTCTACCGCAAACGAGCCGCGTGGGCCACCGCCGCCACGTCCTCTAAGTACTCATAGTACGAGCCACTTTGACATACTCGGGCAAGTGACGTGCATGACGCGCGCCACGTGTGCGGCGTGCAAACCTCTATAAGTTTATATTGGAAATTAATTGCTAGAGGTGGCAGGCTGACGAAGTGGGTGCGTTGTTGGGATTCGTATCGGCGGTGGACGGACGACCATCATGGTGCTCAGCGCGGTCTTCGTGACGGACCTCAAGGGCAAGATCATCATCAGCCGCAACTACCGCGGAGACATCCCGATGTCCATCGCGGAGAAGTTCACGCAGTACGTCACCGAGAAGGACGACGCCGAGCAGCGGCCGGTCTTTACGCACGACGAGTCGGGCGTCACGTTTGTCTACATCAAGGTACATTTGCTAGCCGCCTCGATGGCTCGTCATGGCGCATGGATTAGTTCAACAACCTGTACCTCATGACGGTCACCAAGGTCAACTCGAACGTCGCGCTCATGCTCATGTACCTCAACCGCATCTGCCAAGTGTTCCAGGACTACTTTGGCGAGCTCGAAGAGGAGAGCATTCGCGACAACTTTGTCATTATCTTTGAGCTCCTCGACGAGACGATCGACCACGGGTACCCGCAGACGACCGAGGCGCGCATTCTGCGCGAGTACATTACGCAGGAAGGCCATCGCATGGAAGCGGCGCCGCGCCCACCGACCGCGCTCACGAACGCCGTCTCGTGGCGCTCCGAGGGCATCAAGCACCGCAAGAACGAAATCTTTCTCGACGTCGTTGAGAAGCTCAACCTCCTCGTGGCATCGAACGGCACGGTGCTGCACTCGGAGATCCTCGGCGCGGTCAAGATGAAGTCGTTTCTGAGTGGCATGCCCGAGCTCAAGCTCGGGCTCAACGACAAGATGCTCTTTGAAGCGACGGGGCGCTCAACAACGTCGTCGAAAGGCAAGGCCGTCGAGATGGAGGACATCAAGTTCCACCAGTGCGTCCGCCTCGCGCGCTTTGAGACCGACCGCACGATCTCGTTCATTCCGCCGGACGGCGAGTTTGACTTGATGACGTACCGCCTCAACACGCACGTCAAGCCGCTCATCTGGGTCGAGGCGGTCGTTGAGCCCCACTCGCGCAGCCGCATCGAGTACATGATCAAGACCAAGAGCCAATTCAAGAGCCGGAGTATCGCCAACAACGTTGAGATTGTGATCCCGGTCCCGCCGGATGTCGACAGTCCGTCGTTCAAGTGCTCGATCGGCAGCGTCACGTACGTGCCCGACCGTGACGCGATCGTCTGGACCATCAAGCAGTTCAACGGGTCGCGCGAGTATGCCATGCGGGCGCATTTTGGCTTGCCCTCGATCACCAACTCCAACACGGTACGCCCGAACTAAGTCTTATTTTCTCATGTCCCACATTGCCAGGCGACGAGCGACGAGTGGAAGGCGCCGATCCAGGTCAAGTTTGAGATCCCGTACTTTACGGTCTCGGGCATCCAGGTCCGGTACCTCAAGATCATTGAAAAGTCGGGCTACCAGGCGCTGCCGTGGGTGCGCTACATCACGCAGAACGGCGACTACCAGCTGCGCATGTCCTAGTTGGCTTGCTCGCACAAGAAGACTACAATACACACTCTGCCTGCATGCTATACATTCGCAACACAGCGTCTTTTGCATATTAGGTCACTTCGTGCCCAAGCACAATGACCTTGGGACTCGGCGACACGCAGTGGAACATGGGCGACGCGTGCCGAGGCGAGTGGCCCCGTGGTGACAAGCGGCTGTTTTGGCGGTACCGGTGCGCTTGTAGCTGCCCGTCCGTGGCGTGGTCCATCCCGAAGAAGGTGCGGATCTCGTCTGCAATCGGGCACGACCCGCGGCCGTTCTGGAGGCAGCGCGCGTGGAGGTTCAGTAGCTTGGTCGCAAATGTCTCGAGAAGGTCGCGGCGCTCACGCAGCACCTGCGGCGACGCCAGCGCAAACGGGCGCCGGGACGGAAACTCAAATTCGAGCAGCGACAATAGCGGGTCTTGCGGGCTCGGGCACGGCGCCTTGTGCGTGAGGCTGCGCAGGCGGTTCCGGAAGGCGCGGACCGCCGAGTAGCGCGCGACGAGCCGCCACGGTGCGTGGCCGTGAAACGCGACGAGGAAAACGTACCGCGTCGGGGTCCCGCTGAGCACGTTAACGGCGACTGCAAAGAGGCGGGGCGCGGGCTCCTCGAGCGCGTCGGCCAGCGACAGTCGGTGCGGCCCGCTCATCGCCAAGTGAGCAAGACGGTATCTTTCTGAACGGCCATAGCCATCTCGCCTGGCAGGTGTAGGTCGGCGAAGAAGATCCAAGCTGGCCGTTCCAACGGCGCACCGGCAGTTGGCGCCGTTGGCGACGCTCAGTCCTCGCGCGGCTAGGCGCCGCGTCTCAGAGACGAAGGACGCCATCGAGGTCGATCGCCTAAGCGTGCCACGTCACGCATTTTGCTGTATTGCAGCATGCAGTGTATAAATGGATACAGTGTATTTGAGATATAGAAACAGGTGAAATTATATCAGCTTCCACGGGTAACTCATTCTCAGGATCTGGCAGCGAGCTCTCAGGAGGCATACCGACAATGAGGGGCTCGGTGTCGCAAGTGAGATCTGTACGTACCGCAATGTGTCCCGGCCGCCTCCAAGGAGCCTTCGCAGAGAACGAGACGGCCTCTAGTACCGTCTTCACCACAGGAAACCTTGAGCAACCTCCTAGAGCGAGTCGCAAAGTCACGTTTCCTTGCAGTTGCACAGGAGGACCCACACCCAAGAAGGATGCAACCGGTCCTTCCCGCGTGCTCTCCTCGTGTTCGACGAATGACGCGGGAAGATGGCTTTGACGCCGCTAGACGAGACCCAAGACGCTGGTTGAGCAGTTGAAGTGACGACCACATGCGGTATGCCATTGGGGCGCGCAAGAGGCAGGTGCTATCTCGAGGTCAAGATTATGCACTGTTGCCAAGGCCCACACGCGGGCAAGACACGACCCACTGATGCAGTCCCAGTTTGCGAAGGCTGCCACAAGCTCGTCTAGCGTCATCCAGGCTGCACCAGAACCCGCTTGCGTCGCCCCTGTGGCGCCGTCGAGCACGCACACCACCCAACTCTTTGACTTGTACGAGGCCCACGGCGTCGACGGGTCCCGAGCCGAGCAGCACACGCTGTCGACGCACTGTTGCGGTGCATGGCCGCGGCCGCTAGCGACGGCAAGGAGGCCGCCACCATATGACGGTCGCCGCGGGCCTTTGCGAAAAGCACCTGTTTCTAGCGTGTCCTGGTCGGCGAGTGCCACGTCGGTTCGAAAGCCGGCGCCAGCAAAGGTGGCACAGACGCGTCAGGTTCGCCCGCAGCGCCTCTCGCACCTCAGAGCCACCTCGCGCCAAGCGTCCCATGGACCTAGAGCATCGTCTGCATCCCCGAGGCGGCTGTGGTGCGTGGCATGGCACGGGCCTGTCGTGGCGGCGAAGGCGTCCGGTCGTGTGACAGCGAGTAACGAAAGTCGTTATCCGGATAGCAGCCATTTTGAGGCAGCATTCTACTCTTTGATTGTGGCTGATTCCAAGAGAAGAAGGTAGGGTGCCATGACGCCAGCGTGGCGCGATGCTCATCATGCTGCATGCGATGTAGCAGACAAAGGAGACCGTGTCCCCTTCGTATACCTCTTCCTCCTCCTCCGACGACGACTCCTGCATGAGTGCCATCGACAAGGAGGATGACAAGCGCCCTTCGGACGACGACACAACGACGTCGACGTCCCCCGATGTAGTAGCGGCGACCGAGGACGTGCTCCAGCTGCGCATCACGACGACGCTCGCCGGACCGAACGGCCCGTCGTCGACGACCTCGACGTCGGCCATGTCGCTGCCCACATCGGCGAGTTCGTCGCCCGACAGCACCGCGTCCGCGGCCCACGCCGCCGACTACGAGACGACGCTGCCCGCGCCGCTTCCGAGCGCGGGCTCTATGAAGCGCACTAGCAGCGCCAAGGAAGCACCCACGTCGTCTGGACTCACGCCGCCGCCGCTCAACCGATCTAAGACCACATTCGATGGGCCGCAGACGTCGCCGACGTTGTCACCGGCACTGCAATCGTCGACGTCGGCGACGACACCAACGTCCGCGTCGTACTCGAGCTCGACGCTTCAGAACCAAGTCGAGATTTCGTCCGTGGTGCTGCCGCCGGATGCGATCAAGGAGGTCGAGGAAGACAAGCACTCGCACACGGTCTTCTCGCTCGAGGTGCGTCTGGGGAGCGGCCTGCGCTGGATCATCGAGAAGCGGTACTCGGACTTTCGCGAGTTTCACGAGCGCATGAAGAAGGCGAATCCGGCCGTGCGCAACCTCACGTTCCCCAAGCGACAAATCTTCCGCAGCAAGAGCTCGGCCGTGATCGAGCAGCGCCGAAGCGACTTGGAGAAGTACCTCAAGGACATCCTTGGCGTGACGCCGCTCATGAAGGTGCCCATCTTCAACTTCCTCTCGGTCTACGCGCACCTCGAGAGCTATGACCGGAAGAAGCGCCGGCAGCAAAAGGAGATCGACCTCCGGCGCATGAAGAACCTCCTCCCGTCCGACGAGCTCGACGACATCCAAGCAGCCTTTACCCGTCTCTGCTCGAGCAAGCACTTTGCATCATCGTCGGATGAGAGCAACGACAACAAGCCGTCCGAGCCCGCGTCGCCCGCGCCCACGTCGGCGCCGTCGCTCCAAGTGACAGGCCCACTCTCGACGCAAGGCTCGATGCTGCAGCTGCTCGACCCAAAGGAGAACGTGTCGATCAACAAGACGGCGTTCCGGCGCGACGTGCTCAGCGTCTTCCCCGACATGCCGTCGACGTTTGCGATGCGGCTCCTCAAGGGCATCTCGGACAAGCAGCACAGCGACATCTGCATGGACGAGTTCGTGCGCGCGATCGCGATCCTTCGCCACGGGTCGGTCGAGGACCAACTCGCGTTTGCATACCAAATGTGCGACCACGACCACATGGGGAAGCTCCAGAGCACAGGGCTTGGCAACCTCTTGATCTGCATTTACGGCCGGACGCTCGCCGACAAGCCCGAGTACAAGCGCCTTCTGAACGAAGTGTTTGACTATGGCCGCGTGCGTCTCGGGCTGCTCGAGTTTGTCGCCGAGATCCAAAAGCAGCCGCTTGTCGGGCTGCTGATCGACTGGATGCCGCGCTTCATGGACGTGCTCTGCGAGTCGGCCGACCCCAAGTTGCTCGAGCTCCAAGAAGAGTACAACCCCGTCGTACAGCAAAAGATCCTCGAGGCCGAAACGCTCTTCAGCATCAAGGAAATCGGGCTGCTCCAAGAGGCATTCCACGCGTACCGGTCGTCGTCGCCGGACGAGGCCATCGATGTCGAAGCGCTGACGAGTGACTTCCCGCTCGACATGTCGGACGCGCGCCTTCTCACGCTCTTTGCGTCGTTTGGGCCGCGCGCCAACGGCGTCGACGTCGACGTCTTTTCGTTTGTTCATACGCTCTCGATCGCGTGCCGCGGGTCGACGGACGCCAAGATGCACTTTGGCTTTGCCGTGTTTGCATCCGAGTCGACGCTCAACCACGAAGACCTGTTTGCGATGCTGCAGCTCGAAGTCCTCCAGCACACGCCCATGGCGAGCACGATCGAGCATTACATGCAGACAGAAGCGACCGAGAGCGCTCGGCGTGATGTGCTCTCGAGCGCGCAGCTGGGGCAGTACGTCGACCACATTCTCGAGGCGTTTGGCGCCAACGGTCAGCTCACACTCGAGCAGTTTTGCGCGTGGGCGACCGCGGTGCAGTTTCGCATCGCAGCCCTCGACCGCATCAAGCAGACGGTGTTTGTGCAGCTCGGTCTTATCCCGATGAACAAGCAAGAGGAGATTGAGGTCGCCAAGCTCTGCTACCGCGAGTACAACCCCGCCGAGCTCGTCGAAGACGACCATTGGTACATCCTCGAGCAAAGCTGGTACGACCATTGGCGCAAGTACGTGGGGTTTGTGCCACTCGTGGCGCTGCGTGGCAACCCGGCGGCCCCGAAGAGCACCGCCGTCGTTGCGCCGAGTCCCGCAAAGCCTGGTAGCGCGCTTGGATCGCCCGCCAGCAACAAGACTGGTCTTCTCGCCAAACATTCGACCAAGACGCCGCCGCCGGTCTTGGCGCCCAAGGACGAGACGCCGAGCTCGATTCTGGACTCGGACAAGAACGTGATCCGGCCCAAGTACATTGCGAATGCGACGCTGCTCAACAAGGAGAAGGTGTTTGCGCCGAACGACGAGATGCTCATTGGGAAGCACTTTGTCGTCGTGCACGAGCAGCTCTGGCTCGGCCTCAAGCAGTGGTACGGCGGCGGCCCCGAGATCAAGAAGACGGTGATCGTGCTCTCGAACGGCCAGACGACGCTCAACCTCTGGAACTCGGAAGACGAGAAGGACGAAACCAAGCTCGACGAGCACGCGCTCGCGCTCGCGACCAAGCAGCCGCTGAGCGCGACCAACGGCCTCACCAAGCGCGTGCGTGCCGGCGCGTCGGTGGGCCTCGTCAACCTCGGGAACACGTGCTACATGAACTCGGCGCTGCAGTGCATTGGCAACACGCCGCTGCTCATCGACTACTTCCTCTCGGGCATGTACATCCTCGACATCAACCGCACATCGACGCTGGGCATGCAGGGCAAGCTCGCCGAGGTCTACGGCAAGCTCGCCGAAGACATGTGGAGCGCCAAGTACAAGTCGATTTCGCCGCGCGAATTCAAGAAGACGATCGGCAAGTTCAACGAGGCGTTCCGCGGCAGCGACCAGCAGGACGCGCAGGAGCTCATCGCGTTCCTTCTCTCGGGCCTCAGCGAAGACCTCAACCGAATCCTCGACAAGCCGTACATTGAGCACCCGGACAGCGACGGCCGGTTCGACTCGGACCTCGCAGACGAGTGGTGGCGCAACTCGCTCAAGCGCGAGGTCTCGATCATCGTCGCGCTCTTCACGGGCCAGTACAAGTCGCTCCTCACGTGCTCGCAGTGCGGCTACAAGTCGGCGCGCTTTGAACCGTTTACGTTCCTCCAGCTGCCGCTGCCCGAGCCGACGCACAACAACGTGACGATCCGGCTCGCGTTTGCAGCCGACCGCATGCCGCTCAAGCTCTCGTTGCGCCTCCCGATCGACGCGACGGTCTTTGACCTGAAGAAGCAGCTCGCCGACCTCTGCGTCGCCGAGTTTGATCTGCCGACGACGACGGTTGCTGACATCAAGATTTGCGAGTTCCAGGGCTCGCTCATCTTGGGCTTCAAGGCCGACACGCGCAAGCTCGCCCAGATCCGGAGCATCGACCGGCTGCTCGCGTTCCAGCTCGAGCCATTGGCCCCGCGCGTGATGGACATGACGCGGTCCCGCCGGCCGTCCATTCTGGCGGAGATGCCGTCGGGGCAGCCGACGTCGTCGACGACCGACGGGCCCGTGTACGTGACGGAAGGCTCGCTCATCGAAGTGCAACACAAGGGTGAGTACCTCCCCGCGACGATTCTCAGCATTGACACGCCCGAGTTTGTGCGTGTCCAGTACCGGTCGGGCGAGATCGAGGCCGACGTGCCGCACTCGCGTCTGCGCCAGCGGCCGCCGCGTCTCCTCTACTGCCCTGTCGTCTCGCGCAAGCTCGGGTACTCGCCAGTGTACTTCAAGAACCCGTTCCGGCCCGTGCCATTTGGGACGCCCGACCTCGTGCGCCTCTGCCCCGAGGTGACCACCGGCATTGATTTATACACGATGGTGTGGCAACGCGTGCAGCGGTACCTCAAGAAGGAGCTCTCGCCGCCGACAGAAGTGGCCGCGACGACCAACGAGATTGTGGTGTGCGACTCGATCGACGCGGTGTTTTGCCTCAAGGATGTCCCGCACGGGTTTGTGCTTCGGCGCGTCGACGCCAAGGGCCTCACGGACACGCGTACGCCGTGGCTTGCGCGCAGCTTTGGGTCGACGATCCCGTGCACCGACCAAATGGTCGACCTTCTCGAAGACGAGACTATTGCGATCGACTGGGACGTCCAAGTGCTCCAGGTAGCGCCGTTCTTTGTTGTAGGAGATGCTGATGATTACTCTAGGATCATGTCGATATGGATCTCATGAAGGGCGTCGACATGCATGCGAGCGTCGCCAAGAACAACGCGCTGGACAACGGCCCCGTGCCGCTGAGCCACTGCCTGGATGCGTTTACATCGGAAGAGAAGATCCAAGAAGTACTCGACTTGTGCAAGAGATGTGATGGTTGATGGCTCTTCTAGGGCTACTGCTCGAGCTGTCGGCAGCACCAAGAGATGACCAAGAAGCTCGAAATCTGGCGGCTCCCGCCTGTTATGGTGATTCAACTGAAGCGATTTCAGTACACGCAGACGTATCGGCGCAAGCTAGGTAGGCCGTCACGCTCTTGGTACTAGCCTTTAGATTTGTACTGTAGCGTCGCTGGTCCAGTTCCCCGTCCACGGCCTCGACCTCTCGTCGTGCGTGGCGCCGTTTGAAGAGTTCCCGACACGGTACCCCGAGAAGCTGCCGTCGGGCGACGCAACCTCGGCTGCGACCGATCCCGCGGCCGCCGGCAGTGACGCCGCTGACGTGGCGCAAAACAGAATACGCCGAGGATACACCAACACGAACCTCGAGCAGTCGCGCTGCCTCGAGACGCACTACGACATGTACGGCGTCGTGAACCATCAAGGCGCGCTCGGCGGCGGCCACTACACAGCGTACGCCAAGAACAGCGTCGACGGCAACTGGTACTCGTATGACGACGACCGCGTCCGGCTCATCGAAGAGAGCAAAGTCGTCACGTCGTCGGCCTACTTGTGCTTTTACGTGCGAAAAGACATGGACGACCTCAGCGTCGACACGATCTTCCCGCCCAAGAAGGACGGCAAGATCACTGAAGAAGACATCAACCGGTTCGTCGAAGAGAGCGACAAGGGCAAGTGCGCCATCATGTAATTTGAAAATCTGCAAGTGTTATTTGTGGGAAATCATATTTCGCCTTCCATGTTGCAGTTTGTGTCATAAAACCGGACGCATCCGGATACGCTGCCAGTCGCTGGTCAACAACACCACCGAGCGCGCATGGTCCCGTACACGGTCGCGCAGGTCGACAAGTGCGCCTTTACCTACTGGTACCCGGCCTTGGCCGACGCGAGCCTCAAGAGCATCGCGATTGCGCTGCCGGAGGTCGTCGTGGCGATGCTGCTGGCCGACAAGATTCAGTTTCGCGAAGTCGACTACCCGCCGTCGTTCGTCGCGGACGTCAAGGCCGCGATCGCGTCGCTCGGCGGCAAGGTGTTTGTCAAGCTCGATTGGAGCTGCCCGAAGGACGCCAAGTGGATCCTTGGCAACTCGCTCGCGTGCGTTTGCTTGGAAGACATGGTCCTCGCGCTCAAAGCGAGCGACTTCATCTTGCACGACCTCACGGCGGCCTACGACGAGTGCGTCGACGTGTCGGACGACCGCCGTCGGCCCGAGACGTTCCACCTCGTGCTCAAAAAGTGGGCCAACTGCTACGACTCGATGCATTTCCGGTGTTTTGTCAAGGACCGTCGCCTCGTCGGCATTACGCAGCGCAACTGCGGCGACTACTACGCGTTCTTGACCGACGAGACGACGCAAGACGAGCTCTGCAATGCGATCGGCGCCTTCTACAGCCGCTACTTGCTCCATGCGGAAGTCGTCGACGCGAGTTTTGTGTTTGACGTGTACGTCGACAAGTCGCACCGCGTCTTCCTCCTCGACATCAACGTCTTTGGCGCCGTGACCGACCCGCTCCTCTTTACATGGGACGAGCTCGCGACGTGGCGCCACGACGAAGACGCCATTGACTTTCGGGTCGTGGACTCGGAGACCGCGATCGTCCCGGACGCGTACTCGCAGTACAAGGTCCCCGTCGACCTCGTCGACCATTTGGCGACGCCCGGGGGCTTTGACGATTTCATGCGCCAAGTCGCCAAGGACAACGCCAAGGATGCGGACGACGACGACGAAGATGACGAGGATGAGGAGGACGACGAGGACGATGGCGTCGAGTGGAGCTCGTAGTAGCGCTCGCGATCAAGAAGAAATACACCATGCATTGAACGCCCTACTACGTCTGGGTGGGCCATGGCTTAGCCAAAGCCAAAGCCTTCCGAGCCTTCGCGGATCGCGAGGAGGAGGCGCGCCTTGAGCTGCTCCTCGTTCTCGTACTCGGGTAAATCCAGCTGGTTAAAGCTACGACGCCATGAGCCATTGAGGTATCACACAGAGCGACGTACCACGTGTGCGCGGTCGGGAGCGTGTTGCTCGGGCCGAACGCCTTGTGAATGTTAAACTTTTGGGTCCCCCGCATGCCTTCGAGCGCCTTGAAGCCTTCGAGGGGCACCTTGGACGTGCCCGTGACAAACTGCAGAAAGAGCGCGCGCTCTTCGTGGCTGAACGAGTAGAGCACGTTCCAAAACCACCGGATGACCGGGTCCGTCGGCTTGAAGTTGGCGTAGTCCGTGTTGGCCTTGAGGTCGTCAATGTCGATCTCGGGCATGCCCGAGATGAGCAGCTCGAGTTCGTTTTCGTTGAAGATCGAGATCAGCTGTGGCGACACGAGCTGATGGAGGCCAGTGAGGAACGCGTCGATTTGCGCGCGGATGCCGGTCGCCATGCGGTGGTGCGTCACGAGCTTGACGTACTCCATCTTGTTGGCGTCGGTCACTTGGATGTGGCGGCCGTTCGGGATCAAGTCGACAACGTCGAGCTTCCCAAAGTTCGAGTGCTCGAGCGAAAACGTCAGGTCCAAGCAGAGGTCCGCGATCGGGTTGTCGAGGAGCGCGTGGAGGTTCCGGTAGTACTCGGGGTCAATGGCCTCCATGTCGCTGTACGACAGCGGCAGCTGCAAAATGTGCTTGTAAAACGACCGCGTAAAGTGCGCATCGAGCAGCTGGCCGTCCGCGATCGCCTTGCCAATGACCTTGCCGACAAACTCAAAGTAGATCAGGTGGTCCTTGTTGACGTACGAGAGCGGGTTGGGCTGGAACGTCGGCGAGTCGGCGGCTGACGTAAAGAGCGCGTAATTCGGGTTGAAGATTTCGCGCGCGAGGATCATGTACCACTCGCGCGTGACGCCGCCCGCGTCAATGCCCTCTTCGCCCGTAAACGAAATGTGCAGCTTCCGACGCAGCTCGGCGCCGCTCCGCATGCGCAGCGCGTAAAACGAGTCTTCAAAGACGCGGTCGCGCCGCACCGGAATGCGCACCGACGAGCCGCCGCCGCCGTGGCGCATCGCCGACTGCCGCAGCCGCTTCATCGCCGTTTGAAAGTACGTGCGCTTGTTGTCAAAGTCCAAGAACGCACGGCAGCGGGGAATCTTGATGAGCGCCGCGAGCGACGCGTCGAGCAGCGACGGCTTCTCGCGCACGAGCATGTTGAGCAGCACGCGGTTGGCCTCGACAAAGAGCGCGACCCGCGTCGTATCGCGGTCCGTCTCGAGGATCGCCACTGGCGCTTCGACTGGCGCCGGCTTGGCCTCGTCGTCGGGCGCCGTCAAGGACAGCACCGCGGCCTCGCGCTCCGACATCATCGACTCGACCGGCGCTTCGAGTGTCATGCTGGCTGCGTCCCGCGCGTTGACGACAAAGAACGCTTCAATCATCGGCAGAAACCGCGTGAGGAGCGACGCCATCGCACACGACGCGCCCGCGCTCTGGCCCTCAATGACCGTCGAGTCCGCCTTGTCGGGCTGCTCGCCGAGGCTGTCGCGGGCTTCTTCGAGCGACCGGCTCAGCGCGTCCCAGATGCCGTCGAGGCCAACCAGCCGCGTCTGCTCGGTAAACTGCTCGGTCGAGACCGCCACGTCCGAGAGCGTGTGCAGGTACCGCAGCAATTTGCGCTCGTCGCGCACGGACGCGAGCACGGCCGACGTCAGCGCCTGCGACGCACCACTCGGCAGAAGCGGGGAGGTTGCGAGGCGCGTCGCGTGGCCCACGAGCGTCGCCAATAGCGTCATTTGATTCGCCTCGATGCACCCGAGCTGCTTGAGAATCGAAATCACGCGTGTTTGCATGGCGCCCGTGCAGAGGTCGAGGCCAAGGACGCCCACAATGCGCTCCATGTGCGCCGGCGAGAGCGCAACCCGGGGCACGGGAGCCCACTCGAGCGCCTCGTCGTCCACTTCGTCCGGCTTGGTCGCGGCCTTGTCGGGGCGGAAGCGCGCGAGGGGTGCGACCGTCGCGTGCAGCACCTCGAGGAGCATGTCGAGGTTAGAGGCGCTGCGGTAGATAACCGGCTGGCCGAGAAAGTCGAGCAGACATACAAGGCCGACGCGCTCGTAGACGTCGCCGCGCAAGAGCTCGAGCACAAAGCGCGCGTTTTGCTTGGTGAGCGAGACGAGCACTGTGAGCAGCCGCGTCGCCACCTCGATCGGCAGCTTGGCTTCCGACGGCTTGAACATCGTGCAGCCCAGCAGCCCTTGCGGCGGAAACGACACCGACGCCGACGAGCCGTCGAGCATGGCCAAGACGTTGGCTTGCAACAGCGACCGGGTCGACGGATACGCACACAGATTCGCGACGACGCTCGCAAAGTCGCGGTGGTTCAAAATCGACTGCACCATGTACAGCAGCGTCAGAAGGCTCTGGACCGCGCGCGTGTCCACGAGCGCGAGGTGCTCCACGTCGCCTTCCTCCTTCTCGAGCTGCAGCATGCCGGGGTGCGTCGCGTCCGAGCGCGCAAGCGCCTGGGCGGTCGCATTGTCGTGACGCGACCGCGGCCGCCGCGCCGCACCGCTCTCGAGGATGTCCGTGCCGTGCGTCGTGAGCATCCGGCGCAACGTCGGACGTTGAAACATACCCCGCGCCGCGTCGCCGGCCGAGGGCTCGGGGCGAAAGTTGGCGCGGAACGCGTGCCGCTCGCGGAGCACCATGGCCTCGGCGCGCACGTCCGACGGCAGCGTCTGCAGAAACGCGTCGTCTGACGTGATCAGAATCTCTTCGCGGAGCTCGGGCGCGAGCGATGCAACAAACGACGCCGTGTCCATCTCTTGGGCTAACGACACGTCGGCCGGCGCCGCGGCTTCGCGCTCGCGACGCTCGTTGGCCAAAATCTCGTCGCGAATGTCGGCCGGGAGCGCCTCGAGCGTCTCGCGGTCGTAGCTCGAGTTGGCAATGTCAATTTCGAGCTGTGATTGGCCGTTGGTTGACGCTAGCGGCGGCTCGGGTGCTTGGCTTGCAATGATCTCGGCCTGCATGTCGGGCGGTAGCGAGTTGAACACTTCGGGGTCCATGCCGGCCGGGCACACGAGACCGGCCTCGGCTTCGTCGGCCGCGACGCTTTCGGTCGCCGCGGGCTCAACGTCCGCGGGGGCTGGCGGCACGGGAGCCGGGGCGGTCGGCAAATCCAGCGTGAAGCTAAAGAGCTGGTCCGACGACGCCGACGTCGGTGCAGGCGGTGGCAACGTGGTCGTGTCCAGCTGACTCAGGCTCATTTGGATCGCGCGCGCCATTTGGTCGGCCACACTCGTGTCCACAGGCGGCTCGTCGTCGTCGTCTCCTTCGTCTGCAGGCGCCACGGGGCTCGACGCCACGCTCATCGACGCATCGGGCGGCGACTGCAGCGACGACTGCCCCAGCGTACTCGTCAGCGCAATCACGGACGCTGTCTCGGACGCCGCATCGTCGGGCACGGCCGATTCGGGCGTCGGTGCCGGCGACCCCGGCACCTCGTCCGTCTCATCGGGAGCAGCATCGGCGACCACGAGGCCATTGAGCTCTTCTTCCATGCGCGACACAACCGAGCGCACGACGGCGTCGTCGCGGCTCCCAAACGGATTGGCGCCAAACTCCCAGTGGTTGCTGCTGCGCGGGAAGCGCGACGCATTCGACCGCTGGAGCTGCGGCGTCATCGAGAGCTCACTGAGCAAGTGAAAGTCTGCGCGGGACGACGGCGGGTGGCGCGACGGCGGACGGTCACCAGCTCCGCGGCCCATGCCGCCAAACTCGTAGAGCTCGGCTGCAAGCTCCCCACCGACGGCCGGCGACGCCAAGAACGGGTGCGTCAGGCCCGCGAGCGACGACGTCGAAATCGTCGGTGCGGCACTGCGACTGCTGCGACTGGCGCCCGGCAACCCCGGCGTCGGGCGGCCCATGACTACACAGACACAGGTATATGAGTGGCGATGCGTCATATGCACAAATCGTACGACGGAAGCGCCGGCTGTCGCGGTCCAAGACGTCAAATGGCACCGTCATGACGTCCGGGTCGTCCGCTTCGTCGTCAAAATCGCGCAGCACAAACCCGGATTCGTGGTCCGGCGTCTCGCCACGCTGCGTGAGGTCGTGCTCGAACTCTCGAAAGAGCTGGCTCCACGCCGCGTTGCGCGACCGGTGGTTGGAGCCCAAGGACGCCGAGAAGAGGTCAAAGATCGACTGCGCTTCGTTCGCAAACGACGTTTCGTTCGAGCGCCGCGTCGCGTTCGACGCCATCGTCCGCGCACGCTGCAGAATCGCTTGGGGCGAGTCGTCGGCGGGCGCCGGCGCCGCGCGCGGGGCAGATTCGTCGTCGTCGTGCAGTACCGAGAGGTCGGCGTCCAGCGAGTCCCAGAGCTGCGTCGGGTGAATGACGTCGTCTTGGCGGGTGCGCGCCGGGTAGTCGGCCTCCATCATCTCCATGTCTTCGCGGTTGAGCTCGTCTTCATCGTCGTCGTCGTCGTCTTCATCGTCCTCGCCTTCTTCGTCCTCCTCTTCTTCCTCCTCGTCTTCCTCGTCTTCCTCATCTTCCATGTCCTCGCCCGACATGCCATGCTCGTCATCTTCGCTTTCAGCGTCTTCCATCGGCGCGTCGTCGGCCTCGGCGCTGCCGGCCACCTCGTCGACCGCCATGCTCTCGTCGGCCGGCGCTTCGTCCACGACCTGCATACTCGCACTCGTGTCGTCGACTTCGGTGCTCTTCTTCCGCGGCACCTTGCGCAGTCGGTGGGCGACCCACGGTCGCGTAAACGCCGCGAGCAGTCGCAGCACCATGTTGCACGTCGTGCGCGCGAGCGGGTGCGTCAGGTCCACCTTCCCAAGCGCGTCAAAGAGCAGCGTGACAATGTTGGTCTTGGTCTTGAGCAGCCACTTGGCGTGTTCCCAGAGACCGCTCTTCTCCTTGACGTCGTCGCGCGGCCAGAGAATGCTCAGCATGAGCGCGCACCACGCGTGGATCGAACTCAGGGCCACGGTCCCGTTGCCGTGAGTCGCCAACGCCCACGCTTCAATGAGCTTGACGACCTCGGCGAGTACGCGCTTGGCGCTCTCGCTGTTGGTGCCGCAGATGCCGAGGAGAAGGCGGTGCGCGTTATGCACGCGGTCCTTCGTGAGCTCTTTCAGGCGGTGGCGGTCCAGCGCCGTCTCCTCCGGTGTCGCGGCCGGCTTGCGCAAAAGCTGCGTGAGGTCGCGGCACGGCAGCATCTCGGTGAGCACGAGCTCCACAAACGGCATGTGGTCTTGCAGCAGCACGTTGGCGCAGGTCGGGAAGAGCGAGACGAGGTGCACGAGGTAGAACATCGGCAGCGCGCTCTCGTGCTGCTGTTGCGCCCGCCAGAGCGCCATCAAGTTGTCGACCACGAGCTTGATGACAAACGACGCGTTGGGAATGGGCAGCGTGAGCAGCTTTTGCGTGCCGACGAGCGTCGACGTGCCTGCTGGCAGCACGTACAACCGGCCCGACTCGCTCTTCTTGACGACAATCGTGGCCTTGAGCGCGTCGACAAACAGCGCTTCGTTGCGCAGCGCGACAATGCCGAGCTCCGAGAGCAGCGACCGCGGCGATATGCGCATGAGCTCTGGGGCGCCAAAGCGCGCGCTGAGCTTCTTGAGCGACTGCAGCACCTTTTCTTCCATGCGCGCCTGCAGCACTTGCGGGTACTCCATGACGTGCGCGAGGAGCGCCGACGTGAGCTCCTTGTAGCCGTCAAAGCGACTGTCGAGCGCCAAGCAGGCTTCGACGCCGTGCCGCGTCACAAAGCGGTCCGCGATCGACACGTCGCGCGTGAGCCGCACGAGCAGCTGCCACATGGCGTGGCCGACGTTGCCCGAGACCCCTTGCTGCATGAGCGAAATGCACGTGTCGAGAAGCGACTCGCGCATCGAAAGCGTCAGCACCCCGTCTTCCTGCCCGAGCGCGTCGAGGACGAGGAGGACGGTCGTGAGTCCGTCGTCGGGCGACGCGGGGGTCGCCGTCTCGAGCACACTCAGCAGATGCGCCACGCACGACGGCGTCAAGCTCGCAAGCACTTGGCGGCTCGGCGGATCGGCGTGCAGAAGTAGCGCCAAAAGGTGGGTCCCCGGCGTCATGGCGTCCATCGAGTGCGCCAGCACAAATGCATTGATCTGCGAGAGCACGTTGTGGCGCTCGTCGTTCGACCGCTGGCACTGCACGAGGAGCAAGTCGGCCATGACCTTGACGACGACCATGCGCTGGTCGCTCGGCTGGCTCTTGACGACGTCAAAGCACATGCGTTCGAGGCCGCTACGAACGCTCGTGTAGAGCTCCGAGAGCTCGGCCGCCGAGTCGACGACCGGCGCCGGCGTCTCGTCCATCGGCACGTTGACATCGCCGACTTCGCTTTCGTCAAACGGGTGCGACAAGAGGTACTCCATGGCGAGCTCGACGTCATTGAGCTGCACGCGGCGCAGCGCCGTCTCGACCGCTGGGCGGCCAAAGCCCATGGACGTGAGGCTTTCGACCACGAGCTCGTCAGCGACAAACTCGGGCTTGGGCGCTTTGGGCTTCTCCGTCGCGGCCACATCGAGGCGGTGCTTGAGCAGCGTGGCGACCGCGGGGAAGAGGTAGCTCAGCGACGCGTCCCACGGGAGCGTTGCGAGCTGTGCCTCTTTGGCCCAGAGTGGCAAAATCGTCTGGAGCACCATCGTGTGCATTTGCATCTTGAGCGCGGTCGGCTCAAACGGCTTGGCCGAGTTGGCGTCTTGCAGCAGCGCCAAAGACGCTGTGAGCGGCGCATTGGTGATCGCACCGAGGTCGCTTGCGCGCTTGAGCAGCTGAAACGCCGTCTGGAAAAAGCGCAAATCTTGCTTCGAGAGCGCTGCGACATTGTCCAGCAGTGCCAGCGCATGCTGCGCGATCCATTGTAGCGTCGACGCCATGAGGCCCGACTCGACGACTTCCTGCAGCAAGACCGCATTGGCCGTGCGGCGCTTGCCTTCGTACAAGAGCGCAGTCAGCGTCTCGAGGTAGTAGACGCCCGCAAACGAGACCTCGAACGGCAGTGTAAACCCGCGAATCGAGTCGAAAAGGTCGCGCAGCAGCGCATGCAACGAGTGCGAGAGCGGGAGCGCGTGGGCAGCGAGCGGACTTACCGCTTCCTCCGAGAGACGGTGGTGCGCGGGCACGGCCAGGAACGTCCGACCGTACTTGGTCACCAGATTCCGCACCATAAGCGAAAACTTGAGCAGCAAAAGCGCACCAATCTTCCACAAACCGACCGGCGCCTTCGGAACGAGCTGCCGCTCGAGCGACGTCCGTTCGCAGAGCACACTGCGGTCCACGGCAAAGAGCTTGGCCAGCACGTTTTGGTGCTTCTCGAGCGTAAACTCGGCAAACCATCGGCGCGACTGGCTGTGCGCGTGCGCCGTGCGGAGGCTCCAGAGCAAGAGCGAGACAAGCCACTCGAGCACGGAAATCGTGCGCAAGTAGTCGCCCGCGGTGCGGACATGGGCATTAGCATCGAGAAACACCGCATCCACAGTCGCGTTGGCCAGCGGCACGTCGGCCATCGATGCCATGCCAATCGTCGCCGGCAGCGACTCCAAGTGCAGCGCCATTTGCTGCACAATCTTGGTCAGCATCGTCGTGGGCTGCTGGCCAGCGTACGCGCGCGCGGCGACCGTGAGGCCCTGCGCTGCGGGGTAGTGCGCGAGGGACGCGTGCGACTCGTGGGACTGCGTGACGCTCGAGAGAAAGTCGGACGTCGACGGCAAAATGCGACTGTAGAGCGTCAAGAGCGTGTCGACACCGCCGAGGTCGGCAAACCGCGCCGCGTGCTCGGCTTTGGCCAGGACGGTCTCAAGCACGTCGCACACATGCATCGTCATGCGCAGCACGGCCGTGTGCCGGCTCTCGTCATCGTTGGCGTCCAAAGTCGCGTCGCTGTAGCTCTGGACTTTGGTCAGCGCGCGGACGCAGGCGTCAATCGTGGGCTTTTGAAATGCCGGGACGTGGCGCATGAGCTCGTCGAGGCCGCCGCCGACGATGGACGCGACGTCGCCTTGGAGACTGTCAAAGCCATGGTACAACACGTAGCTGGGCATGACAAACATGTCGAGGAGGTACGTCACTGGCTCGTACGCGACGACCTTCTCGACGTGCGTCGACGTGAGGCAGAGCGCGCTGAGGACGCTCGGGACTGCAATCACGAGCTCGGGCGACGGCGACAGCGCGTTCACACCGGTATTCAAGTCCCAGCGACAGAGCGTTTTCAGAAACGCGTCCGCAAGGCCGCTGCCGTGAATGTGGTTGACCGACGTCGGGTCGTTGTTGATGATATCCGAGAGGAGCGTCGCGGCCTGCGCAAAGAGCATCGAGCCGTACGCGTCGACGTTCGAGAGAATCGCGAGCAGCACTTTGGCGAGCGGCGCTGTGTCGCGGATCACGCGCGACGTCGCGCCGGCGCTCATGACGCCCTGCGAGTGGAACGACACCGAGAGCATGTTGAGGAGCGTCAAGAGCAGAATCTGCTGCGTGCCGACGACCGACTCGGCGTGCAAGTCGGCCGCGAGACGGTCGATCAAAATGCTAACGCCGCTGAGGTCCCGATAGAGCGCGGCGGCCGGCGCGTGGTTGGTCACAACGCACTCGAGGGCTTGGACGCACTGGACGACCACCGACGTGTGCAACGGGCTCAGCGACGGGCAGCTGATCGCATGCAACAGCGACGGGATGATGCCGCTCTCCGTGAGTGCTGACGCGCCCGACGGAATGCCCACGACCACCGAGAGGAGCCCGAGCACGCTCTCGACCCAGTACAACTGGCGATCCGTGCTCTGCGAGAGGTCGCGGAACGGCGTCAAGTCGGCGGTCGATGTCGTTGCTTGCACAAACGCGACCGCGAGCGTCATGTCCATGTCGGCGTCGGGCGACTTGGTCTCGTCCAGCGTGAGGCTGCTCAGCGTCCCCATCGTGTGTCGCACAAGCGAGAGGAACGCGCCGTGGGGCATGCCGCGCACGACGCCGAGCGCTGTGAGCACGGACGACTGCAGGCGCGAGAGGTCACGCACGCCGCGGCTCTGCACGACGCCGTCGCTCACGAGCGCTGTGAGCACTTGGACGGCCGCGACGCGGACGGGCAGCGGTACGTGCGGGTGGATGTCATATCGAATGAGCTCGACGATTTCGACGACGAGCTCGGCGTTGGCCTCCATGTACTGTGTCACTTCGTCCGAGTCGCCAAAAATGTAAAAGAGACCGAGGAGCGCGTGGAGACGCTCGACGACCGCGACTTCCCGTGTGCTCCGCGACACGGCGCTGTAGCTCGAGCGAATACGGTACAGCAACTTGAACTGGTGCTTCTCCGGGACGTGGTGCGCTTGGATCAGCTGCGCCAAGACGTTGGCAGCGGTGGTCGGTTCGGCCTGCGCCGGCGGATCCGGGATCTGGATCGAGACAAGCACGCTGTCTTTGGCGACCTCGTCGTAGCGGTAAAACTGGTAGACCATCTCGGGCCGGTTGGCCTCGGTGCGCGTGGCATCGTCTTGGAGGTAGTCGACCATGTCGAGACTACTGCTCGCGCCACCGCTGCCTTCGGCCACGACGAGAAGGTACTTCTTTAGAAGCGTGCGATCGCGCGCCTTGACGTCGTTGGGCGCCCGCGGGTCCGTGGTGTACCGATGCGGCAGCGATGGCAATGCGAGCATGGCCACGAGCTTGATCGCTTCGCGCGCAATGCGCTCGCTCGTCGCGCCGACGAGCAACACGAGGTGGTCAATCGACGGGTACAAATGCTTGTTGGTTGCGTTCTCCGAGAGGATCGCCGAGACGCGGAGCACTTCGTACGCGAGCTCGTCGCGGACCGCGTACGTCCAGGTGCCCGGCGCCAGCGCCTCGCCGCTATGGAAGATGACGATTGGGCGGCCATCATCGGTCGCGGCGCGGGTGACGATCCGGTCGAGGAGCTTCCCAAACGCCTCGAGCAACGGGATGTAGTTGTACAAATCGGCTTGGCCCTCAAAGGGCCAGTCGCGCAGACGCTGGAGCAGGCGAAGGAGGGCGTCCGTCGGCGGGGGCGCCTCCGACGCAGCGTCGTCGCAGTGGCGGACCAGCAGATCCACGAGCGCTTGCTCCCCTCCGGTCGGTGGATACCTCGGGGCTCCTGCGCCGCAGATCATTTCGTTTGGTTTCCGCAAAAATCCCGACTCCCAAATCTCGCAAAAAGGCTTTTTGGTCGGTTAATTTATACGGACAAAGAAGCCCCGTGCGAGAGGACGACGCTGCATGGACGATGGGGACCAAGGTAGACAATCCCGTGCATGAAGGCTCCGCTGCATGCAGATGCTTCCACATGCATCTCCGCACATGACGAAGCGCGGTTCCTCGATCGCGATCCGAAGACAGCTCGCGTAGATCCGGTCGATGCTGCGATCATTGGGCTCATTCGCAGAGGCGCGCGAGGGCCAAGGCTCCTCGCTGCGTCGTCGTCCTCGGCGATCTTGCATGGACCTCGTCATAGAGGTCGCGGAAGAGCATGGAGGACGAGCATGGAGGAAGAGCGTGGAGGACGCGGACGACGAGCGCGGTCCTGGTCGGAGAAGCTGAAAATAGGACATGTCCGGATACGTGGGTGGTATACTCAAACCAAGATGTGTAATGCCAGAGTCTGAACCTGCCCGGAACACTTGCCTATCTCATGACGAGCAGCTTCACGGGTACGAGCTGGACGATGAGGAAGACTTGGATGCATGGGCGTGCTAGGCCAGCAAGCGGTCGCCAACGACATCCGCCACGTCGCCGGGCAGGTCCAGGCGCGGCTCCGCGGCGACCTGCACTTCACCGAGGAGTTCATCCCGAGCGCGCGCGCCGAGGCGAGGAGCTCCATCTTTGTCTCGTCCGACTGGAGCACGAACCCGCGCATGTGCGTCTTCCTCCAGTGCGGGCCTGGCGTCGTGCCTGGGCTCTGGGCGATCCCGCGCCCACCGAACGGCCCATCGTCGTCCGCGTTTACGTCGGCGCTGCACCAAATGTCGATGCTGCCGTACGCCCGCGCCGCCATACAGAATGGCCAGTCGGTGGTCATTATGAACCCGAGCACCAACTTTGGCGTCGTCAAAGGCCAGAAGGTCAAGATCCTCCATAGCGCGACGCCCGAAGACCACGTCGCGCACGTCTGGAACACGTACATTGCGCCCTCGTCCGCCGGGCAAATCAACTTTGTCGTCCTCGACGTCGCGGGACTGCTCCTCAATCAATTTCTGCGGCAGCTCGGACCCGAGCACCACGTACGTCATCTCCATGATCGAGGAGCATGAGCATGAGCATGGTGTAGGGACGCATTGGCGGCGTCGTGTACGTTGACGCGCCGCAAGCCGCGCGCCGCCACCGGTCCGAACCGCCGGACTTTGAGACGCTCATCGAGACGCGGTCGATCCATTTTGAGCCGTCGTCCGAGCCCATGTTCCAGGTCGTCTCGAATGCCAACCAGTACAAGTGCACGTCGCTTTCGATCGGGCGCTTCTCGGGTGACCACTCGGTCGCGTCGGTCATTCAGTCAGTGCAGGCGTCGGCTTTTATGTTCCTCCAGGTACACTGCTTCAAGTAGCACCGTGCTTGATCCTCGGGTAGCTCATTGGGAACGGCCTCGACGACGCGATGCTAGCGCTACGGGCAACGATCCCCAACAAGCTCGTCGTAACTGTGAACCGCGCGCGGCTCACGGGCCAGCCCTACAACAACCCGTATGCAGTCGTCACGTGCGTCGGCCAGAAGAAGGAGACGGTCGGCAACCACCGCAAGACGATGGACCCCGAGTGGAACCAAACATTTTCGTTCCCCGTAAGCGACGCGGCGACGACCGTCGTCGTGACCGTCAAGGACAAGACGTTTCCTCTCTCGACGTCGCTCGGCCATGTTGCGCTGGGCATGACCGACATTGGCCTCAACCGCCCCGGTAGCATATCGACAAACAAACAGGTCCTTATCAGAATTCGCGTAGTGCGCAAGTGGTTCACGCTTCGCGACGAGCGCTCAAGCAGTAGCCACGGCAACGGCGAGCTCGAACTCACACTCGAGTGGGTCCATGATACGTTTGTCGCGCGCACCGACTCGTTCATTCGCGGCCAGCGCGGCAACACGGCCGCCCGCCCGCCGTCTGGTGGCGCCCCGCCGATCATCGACACGAAGCCCGCCAACGCGGCTGAGAACCAGTGCTACCTCTGCAAGTGCAGCTTCCTCATGCACCGCCGGCGCCACTGCCGCATGTGTCTCCGACCAGTCTGCGTGAGCTGCTCGGACCGGCTCTTCCTCCCCGGCTTTAGCGAGGCCAAGCGCGTCTGCACGGCGTGTTGCAATCTCCAGATCATGATCCACAAGCAAGGGACCAACACGGGGTCGGCGCGCACGGCCAGCTCGCATCTGACGACGCGCCACCCGAGCCCGCTCGGCCTCGACGTGCCGACTCCCTACGCCGTCTTGCCGTACACGCACCAAGGCGGCCACGCGCCCGTGCAGATGGTGTACGACCAAGCCGCGCTCGACGAAGCGTCGCGCAACATTGAGCGCATGGTGGCCCGCGAAAAAGAAAAGGACATGCCGCTCGGCATCGACGACTTTGACTTGATGAAGGTCGTGGGCCGCGGCGCGTTTGGCAAGGTAGGTCGCTCGAGCGCCCTTCTCTCGTGATTACTACGGACGATGCATTAGGTCATGCTCGTGCGCAAGAAGGCCGGGAAGAACGGCGGCGCCATTTACGCGATGAAGATTCTGAAGAAGGCGCATATCATCCAGAACGACCAAGTAAGCGTCGACGCACTGCACTGGTACAAGCGTGGATGTAGGTGGAAAACACAAAAGCGGAGCAGCACATCCTCAAGGAGATCAACCACCCGTACGTCGTGCGCCTTCGCTACGCGTTCCAGAACCCCGAGAAACTGTACTTGATCATGGACTACTACCCCGGCGGGTCGCTCTACTACCATCTGCGCAAGTCGAAGAAATTCTCGGAGGACCGCACGCGCCTCTACATGGCGCAGCTCCTCACGGCGATCATGCACTTGCACTCGAAAGACATTGCGTACCGAGACCTCAAGCTTGAAAACATCCTCATGGACGCCCACGGCCACATTGCGCTCACGGACTTTGGTCTCTCCAAGGAAGGCCAGTCGGTGGACGGCGCGATTCGGCAGTCCCAAGCGCAGCGTACCTATATGCTTCACCATCGGATCTCACATGACGGTGGATGCTAGTGGGCATGAAGACCATTTGCGGCACGGCCGAGTACATGGCGCCCGAGCTCCTTCGGCATCAAGCGTACGGCAAGGTCGTCGACTGGTGGAGCTACGGCATCCTGCTCTTTGAGATGCTCACGGGTCGCACGCCCTTCGTCGACAAGAACCGCCGCACCATGTTCAAGAACATCATGCATTCGGAGGTCGTGTATCCGCCCTACATTTCGGCCACGGCGCGCTCTGTCATTGCGAGGTAGTTCCTTCTCCTACGTTGATATCCACAGTGCTATCGCTGTAGGCTACTCACGCGCGACCCGAGCAAGCGCCTCGGGGGCGGCCCCAATGGCGGGACGGAGATCATGGCGCATCCGTTCTTTGCGCCCATCGATTGGGACGCGCTGCTCCGGAAGGAGCTCTCACCCGTCTTTCTTCCCAACGTCAGCGCGATCGACGACGTCTCGAACGTGCCCGAGATGTTTCAGAAGATGGCAGCCATCGACTCGCCGATCGCCAAGGACGGGAAGGCGCTTGCGCACTTTGACGACTTTAGCTACCAAGAGGACACCAACCTGCGGCAGCAATAAGTTGTGCAAATTAGACCAAATATGTGTGTGTCCTCAAGAAACCTAACCCTTTGCCACTGCCAGGGGTCGGGTTGATCATCAGGTCAGCACAGAAGACATAAAAGCACATGGAGGTGGAGATCAGAGGCGCATCGTGTTAGGGACTCGTGGACCGTTTCTTCTTCTTGTCCTTCTTCTGCTTGTGGAGTCGGTTGCGCCGGTCCTCGATCTCGTCTTCGTAGTCGCCGTAGCGCCGGCTGCGCGCCTCTTCGCGCTCAATGTCATCAAACGTGGCCTCCATATCGGACGAGTCGGCGCCGTCGTCGAGCGAGTACTTGCGCGGTCGGCGGCCCTTGCGCATGAGGCTCGTGATGGCCCCTGGCACGTACACGTCTTCCTCTTCGTCGCTCACGACAAAGCCGTCGTCGCTCTCGTACATGTCGTCGTCTTCTTCATACGCGCGCTTCGGGCGCTTCTTGGTCTCGACGCGCTTCTTGCTCTTGCGCTGGAGGCTCTCGAGCGCCAGCGCGATGAGGCGGCAGTGGCCCTTCTTCGGGACCATGGACGCGAGGTCGTCTTCGGTCAGCATCGCAATCGCCTTCATCGAGTCGAACCCGTTGTCGAAGAACGCTTGGCTGTACTGGCTCATGTCGTCGGTCATGCCCTTGAGCCAGTGCACGACTTCGCGCTCGCCTTCGGTCCACGGCTGCTTCGTGTCGCGGGCCGACGACGCCGGGTCCGTCTCGCGCTTGCGCTTGAGCGGGTTCTCGGGCGCCGTCGACGCCACGCGCGGGTACATCTTGTCGAGAAACGCCTTGCGGTCGGCTTGCTCTTTCGTCATCTCGGGGGCGTTCGGCCGGTTCTTGGGCGGCAAAGGGCGGCCCGCTGCCGGCTTGCTGCTGCCAGCGGCGGGCTGCTTGTTTGACGACGGCTCGGGCAGCCGCGTGTACATCTTGCGAGCATCAACGTACGGCGCCTTTTCTTTGCTACCGCTGTCGCGCGGTCGCTCTCGGGCGTTGGCGTCGCGGAGCGCGGGAGGCACGGCCTTGCCCATCTGCCGCGCCTTCTCCTCTGCGATGGCGCGTAGCCGCTGCTGCCGCATCTGGTGGCGCTCTTCGTCCGTCCTACCACTTCATGTGAGCCATCGTAGAGAGAGGACTTGGATGCACTACATGTTTTTGGACGCGAGGGCCGTGCGCGGAAGGGCCCGCGATGTGGGTGCCGACGACGGGCGGGACGCCATTGTCGACCGGCTCAGCGTGCTCGATGCTGTCGAGCGCGCGCTGCTGCTTGTGGGCGCCATGGACCGCACGATCTTGGCCTGGGCGCGCTGGGGCGTAGTGAAGCGTGTGATGATCGATGTCGGCTTTGGCGCCTTCCCGCGCTTCGTCTTGGTCACGGGCTGGTCGAGGTAGATGCTCGTGCGCGCATCGCGCTTGGCCTTTTCCTTTGCATACGAGTTGGCGAGGCGGTTCCGTGCCATCTCCTTCTGGTCTGCGTCCATGGCTTTGGTCGAGTCGGCCAGCTCCTACATCTCCATGAGCCTCAATCGTAGGATCGTCAAAGCGTACATTGGCCGCGCGTGGCTTGGATGGCGCCGATGGCTTGACGTCCAAGGCCTCTTTCCAGCGGTTGGTCAAAACGCCAGCGTACCCGCTCACGCACTTGTCGGTATGCTTGCGCAGCTTGTTGACGGCCACGCCGAGCTTCGTCTTGGCCAGCGACTCGTGGTCCGGGCGATACGACTGCAGATTCGAGAGCATGCCCAGGAGCTCCTTCGTGTTCTTGACGTCGTCGCGCCAGCCGTCTTGCTGCAGCGTCGCATGGAGCTTCTTGGAGACGCTGCTGACCTCGTCAAAGGACCACGCGCTCATCGCGTCGACCCCCTTCCCAACCAAAAATACCCAAACGCACCGTCCCGTGATTATCCGGACGTATCCGGACGCCACCGGCTGTGTGGTCGAAGCTCGCCACGCGAGCCCGCGGCCCTCTCCCGCGGCCGCGACCGATCCAAGTAGCCGCAAGTATCAAGTACCAACTAAGTATCAATCCATCGGCCAGCCAAGCGCAGTCGGCGCCTGCGTCCTATCGCACTCGCGCAGCAGGCCAGCGCTCGGGGTCGAAAGATCGAGGTTGGATATGCAAAGAACGAGGCGCCGAGCAATGCATGCGTCCGCGTCCATGGCATGTCGGAGGAACATGGAGTTGAGAGGCTCGAGAGATGGGCGACAGCGCGAGCGGTCGTGTCTTTGGTCGGCGCCCTGGCCCACATTGTTGACTTGGCTTTAGTATGTGACAGGCTGGTCCGTTGACGAAGATTGGAGCCATTTTTGTTCTCACAGCCGTCGACGCAGCATGGGGTTCTGCGGCGAGTGTGGCGCGCGCGACGAAGGCGGCAAGTTCTGCCCCGAGTGCGGCGCGCCGTGTGGCACGGACAGCGGCCTCTTTGGTGCTGCGTCCGCGCCCGTCTCGGGCATCAGCAGCCAGCGTGCCGAGGCCGAGCGGAAAGCGGTCGCCGCCCGCGAGATGGCGGAAGCTGCCAAGCAAGATGCGGCCAAGGCCGCCAAGCTCTTTGAGGAGACGGAGCGCTTTCGCCTCGAAGAGGCGCACCGTGCGGACGAAGAGCGCCGGCAGTCCCAGGAAACTGCGCACCGCATGGAGATTGAAACCCGGCAGCGTGAGGCCCACGCTAAGCGCACCGAAGCCGAGCGCCACGCCGAGGAAGCCCGCCAGCGCGCCGTCAAGGTACGATCGCCCGCTTACATGACAATTGACGGTCCCCGTAGATGCGCGAAGACGCTACGGCCGCCACGCGTCTCTTGGAAGAACAGAACCGCCGTCGCGAAGAAGAGAACCTGCGACTGCTCGAAGCCCAGCGCCAGATGGAGATGGACCGCATGCGTGCGACGCACATCGCCGAGGCCGAACGGGCGCGTGCGACGCGGGAAGCCGCCGAGGCCAAGGCGATGCACGCCAAGGCCGCCGCCGAAGCGCTGCGTCAAAAGGCCATGGCCGCGGCCGAAGCCCTCAAGGAGCAGGAGCGATTGCGCCAGCAGCGTCTCCTCGAGCGCGAAGAGTCCCGCCGGCTCCGCGAAGAAGAGAAGCGTCGCGAAGAGAACATGCGCGCGGCCATGGAAGCGCGCTTGCAGCGGGAAGAGGCCGAACGCAAGGCCGACGAAGCCCGGCTCCGCGCCGAGCAGATGCGCGCCCAGGCACTTCAAGCCGAGACGGCGCGCCTCCAGAAGCAGACGTCGATGCTCCAAGCGAGCATGTCCAACTTGCACGTGAGCACCACCGAGGCGTCGTGCGAGCAGTGCCACGCGCCCTGCAAACCAGCGCAGAAGTTTTGCCCCAAGTGCGGCTTCAAGCGCGTCGACTCGGCCAAAGCGTCGCCGCCGCCACTCGCCGCTGCTTCGAGCTTTGGCGGCAGCTCCACGTCGCTAGTCGGCGGCAACTGTGCGGCGTGCAGCTTCTCGCTCAAGCCCGGGGCCAAGTTCTGCCCGAAATGCGGAACCAAGACGGCCGCCGCCCCGGCACCGGCACCGATCCCGGCGCCGGTTGCACTCCCAATGGCACCGACGGCGTGCACCGGTTGCTTTGCGCCGCTCGGTCCCACGTCCAAGTTTTGCAACAAGTGCGGGACGCCGGTCTCGGCGATGGCGCCGGCGCCAGCTCCGGTGGCCGTGGCGGCAGCCCCGAGCGCGTGCCCGAGCTGCAGCTTTCAGTGCAAGCCGAACGCCAAGTTTTGCCCGAGCTGCGGCTCCAAGTTTGGGGTGACGTTGACGCCGGCGCAACTCGAGCAGCGCCAGCGCGAAGAAGTCGAAGTGCGCCAGAACATGGCGCAGGCTCAAGCCCGCGCGGACGCTGCGCGCCAAACGCAGATGCACCAGCGCAACTATGCGTCCTCGTTGGCGGCACAGGCCCAAGCGCAGCAAGCGGCGCGCTACTCGTCGCAGGTACACGCCACCACTGCATATGGTCTCTTGACCCACCCTCTCTGTCTGAGTAGGTGTAGGCGCCCGCACTTCAAGATCCACCCCGTTCAACACGCTATAAGATCTCAACAAGTGCGCTTCTTAGTGTGCAGTCGTTTGGTTGTCGTCGGTGGCGGGCGTGTAGTAGACAACTTGTCCGTTCTCGTCATAGTACCAGTCGTACGCCGTCTCGGACGTCGCCGGCGCTTCCCACGACGTCTCGCCCGTCACCGAGTGGACGTAGTAGAAGGCACTGTGCGTCTCGTCCCAGCACTCGACCCAGTCGCCCGTCGCTGGATCGCCATCGCCCTTGCTCCCTGTTCCGACCTTCTCTACAGGCGCGCTGTCGTTGTTGCTGTCCGTCAGAAGTGGCATCTCGGTCGGGCAGTCCCAGCGCGTCTCGGCGGTCACCGTGTTGTAGTAGTACGTGTACCCGCTGGTTTCATCGACGCATTCGACCCACTCGTCTTGAGCTCGTGCTGCTGCTGCCAAGCGCAGCGCTGCAACTGTGCGATTCGCCATGATGCTTCGGCCAAAGCACTGCAGCGTGATCGCCGCCGTCTCACGCCGCAACGACTGGGTCTTGGCGTCAAGAATCGCTGCGTCCCGTCGGGCAAAGTGCCGTCGGACAAGGCCTTGTAGTCGTGTCGCCATGCGGCTTAAGAGCGCGTAGCGACGCCGGTATGCGCGTTGGAGGAGGCGTGCATTGCGCGTTTCGACAAACTGGCACACGCGCTCCCAGTGGCACCGGGCGTCGCGGGCTCTACCCAGGCGAGCGGCCACGGCGCGGCGAAAGTCCCGGCGCTGGCGGTACAAGGCTTGGATCCGCGTGACGCGGCGCACCATCCGTCGGTGCTTGACGTGCTCTATCGCTAATTGCACGTTGCGCTCGTACTCGAGCTGCAACGCAAGAAGAACGCCTTTGGCCAAGTAGACGCGCACCATGCTCTGGATGCGCCGCGCCGCCAGGAACCGGCGCCGCTATCGCGTATACTGAGCCTCACTCGAATGCAGAAGAGGCGTACCTGGCTACACTGCAGTCGGGCCACGTGTTGACGGAAGGCGCACTGAATCGCCAAGGCCGCGCCTGCTTGCCGTATCTAGGCGTCGTGATGTAAGACGAGGTATAGGACATCAAGGTGCTGCACCACTTGACGCTGGGCACGTTCGGCGTTGACGCAGCGTCGCGCCAAGGCCCCGCGCATGTGGGCTTGCACGGTGATGACAGCCTCGTCAAAGCGGGCCTGATCGGCAATGTGCTGGCGCCGACGAGCCACTCGTCGGCGCCCGTGCATGCCCCGGTAGACGCGCTGGAGGGTCCTTGCCGCGGCGGTGCGCAAGGCGTCGTGGGCCACCTTCTTTGCCTGCAAAAGCCGTGCGAGGTGGCGCGAGTAACGTGCGCGCCACCACCCTTGCAGTATCGTGGCAGCCGCGGAGCGCTTGGCGTCGCGGCGGGCTTGCAACGTGCCTCGCTGCAGAAAACAACGAGCCCTACCCCTACTATTAACACAACCCTAATTCCGCAGTACTGACCGTGCTTGGAGCGCCGTGGCCGCGGCCGTGCGCCGCGCATGGTCCGCAAAGCGCCAGCCAACATGCTGTGCATTGTAGGGCAGTGCGTGAACGGTCGCCATGCACGAGTGACACGCCGTGCGCGGACACTCGAGGCAGATGCGCGCTTCCGCTCGGGTGGCGCACATGTCGCAGACAAGCGAGCGGCGCAAGAGGCGCGCGGCGTAGCCCTTGTACGCGGCAGCAATTCTGGTCGCCATTGCGCGCTGGTGCCGATAGAGTTCGATGGGTATCGGGAGATCGGCGTCGCGCGCCAGGTCCGTGACGTCGAGGATCATGGTGTAGCAGCTCTCGCAGAGCTCGAGACCGAGCGGAATCGAGTAGAGCTTTGCGAGGACGTTCCGGCACTCGGCGCAGGCGCCAGCGCGGAGCACGTATATGCGCTGGCGGAAGTGGACTTTGGCGCGGTGGATGCGGAACTGACATTGAATTTTGACCGCCGCCCGGGTTTCGCGCCACTCGACCTTGCTCGCCTGGAAGCGCCGATAGACGCAGAACGACCGGAACGTTGCTTGAATCGTCGTTGCCGCGCGCGTTCGAAACACAAACGTGACGAGCCGCGCCCACTTGAGACTGCGGTACCACCGCCCAATGTAATTGGCCGCGTGTGTGAGCGCCACGCGGCGCTTGGCGGCCGGAAGAAGCACGTGGCGGGCGATGTACCCGCGTGCATAGCGCTGCAGGACAATCGCGCGACGCGTAAGCTTGCAATGCAGGCAGCCGCGGCGAATGCGGCGCCGGTTCGACGCGGATACGAGCCAGCGCTGGAGGTGCGTCGCCGTCTTGTGCTCCAAGTGGATCTGCAGCGCGGCCCAGCCAAACTTGCGCGCGACAAAGTTGCGCCAGTAGACCGAGAGCCTTTGCGCGGTGCGCTTTTGCTGCAGCAGCGAGCGCGCGGCAAACTGGAACTTCTTGATGTGGTAGGCGTAGTACGCAGTTTGGATCGTGGCCGCCGCGCGATGCAGTCGCCGCACCTGCTCCCGCTTGTCGCTATAGAAAGCGGCGCGTCGACGCCCATAGACGCCGCGCCACCGTCGCTGCAGCTGGATAGCCGCCGCGGTCTCGCGCTGCTGCAGACGGCGGGCAGCCCAAAAGCACGAGGCCGCAAATCGCCGCAGACTCCGCTGCAACACGTGCGCGGCCAAGGTCTTCTTCTCGTGCAAGCGCGCCGCGTGCGCTCGCCGCCGACCGGCGTGGCCGCGCCAAACGCGCTGCAGCGTGGCGGCGGCTGCTGTCGACCGCCGATAGCGCTTGAACTTTGCCCAGTAGACAAAGCCTTTGGCCGTGTGCTGGAGGGTTCGTGCCGCGCGGTCTTGGCGCAGGTGCAAGAGCACTCGACGTGAGAGGAAGACCCGCACTACGCCTTGCAGTCGCCGCGCCGCGACGAACCGGCGACGGGCGTGTGCGGCCCGTCGCCCACGCCGCCCGCGCCATAGTCGCTACACGCTGACTTGACGCCGATTCACAAAGGTGACGCAACTACCTGAAGCTCGAGGGCCGCCGCCATGGCCTCGGTCGATTGCCGGGCTTTCACAAAGGCGCTCCAAACCGGCAGCGCGTAACTCCAATACGCATGCTGCCACCGGCGAAAGAGGCGCCGCGCGTGCGTGCGCTGCGCCCGCGCCACGTAAAACTGCAGTCGCTGGCTTAATGCGTCTTCGAGCTCCCGGAACTGGATCTCTTTCCCCGTCGGGATAGTCTGCAATGTGCACTGTCCATCTCGCGTCTGATGGTCGACGGAGTACCTGGAGGATCTGAAAGGCAATGTCGCGGTCGCCATACGCGCGCATCGAGCGGACCATGGCTCGGTTGACGTGCTTGCCGTCGAGAAGGTCTTGGTAGTTTTGGCTCTTGGCGTTCTCCAAATCCCACGTCGAGCCTAGACTGGATGTCCATATCTTACTGAAGAAAGTCCACGCTCGCACCAAAGAAGGCGTGGCCCGTGCGGGTGTTGCGAAGGACATAGATGCCGGCGTGGATCTGGCTGCGTTGCCGCTTGGCGCTGCCGACAGGACGGGGTATCGCGTCCGGAAGCCGGCCACGGAAGCGCGGGGCCTTGGGAAACGAGACGTGGACGCTGTCGTTGGCCAGGCGCAAAGTACGCTCATTGGCCTGGTTGGTCTCGGTCTCTACACTCTGAATTCGAGCCGCCGACGTATCGCAGGGTACTACGTACTCTTGGCCGATGGCAGCTTGGCCTTGGCGCCTACGTGCGGGCGTGAGACGCTCAGCTCCATATCTAGTCTCTCGTTGTACGACGATGCGATGCGTGCAGCTGCAGCGCGTACTCGACTTCAGGGTGCGCACGCGCAAACTCGGTCATGCTTGCGTCCGGGCGCGGCCGCTTCATGCCACGACTGCCTGATGAAAAAACGGTCATCGTTATAGATTACGGATACACTCTGACGTGGCGCGCTACGAGCGCGGCAATCTCTCGCTGTGCGTAGAACTCGGCGACGTTGATAGCTCGTCGCGAAAAGAGCTCGGGGCGGCAGCGGCCAAGACGCAGCACAAGGTCCTTCTCGCCGGCCGCGATCGCACAGTACAAGACGTAGCTGGGCTGCCACAGCATGTCGTAGGCGACCGAACGGACGGCTTCGACCTTGGTCTTGGGGTCGCAGCAGACGATGGAGCAGTGAGCGTTGTGCGCAATGCGAAGCGGCGCGGCGGCGCCCTCGCTTGGCGCGAGCCAGCCAAAATCCGGACACCACAGATCGAGCACGCGTCGCTGCACGCGCCGCCAGGACGCGAACGCTGCTCGGACGCGCAAATCGACGCCGTTCTGGAAGGAGGTGACGAGTGTGTAGAGGTAAAAGTCGCGCAGGACGCTCGCAATCGCCACAGCATCGGTAGACGTCATGGGCAATAATTGAAGAATGAGCCGCCACGACGGCGTGTCCCAGCCGAGCGATGGATTGTCCAACTGCACGCCATAGGGCCAAGTCGCACGAGCCAATGAGCGTGGCTGCTCGTGAAAACTCCTTCCTGCCACGTCGCGGCGCCACGTACTAGCACGTCGGAGGCGGTGCAGTGACAACTGTCGGCGCTTCTCGCAGTGAACGGCGCTCTCTTTATAAGGTCATTGCTAAGGACGGCGCGCTGTGGTGTAAATGGTCGTGGTTCCGTCGACAATACTGTGCATCGCAGGTCGAACGTTCCAGAATATGTGCAAAGATCCACACACAACACCTGCTTCAAACTGTCTGTTCCATTCAAGCACGTTACCTATTGCTCTTTATTAGATATAAACTGTGGGAGGACCTGCTGAGAATGCATATCCAGAATGATGATGGCAGAGCTGATGTTGAAACGAACCACCCGATTGCTGGCCGCGCGCCAGTTGGCGACCGCGGCACGCACCAAGTACGTGCTTGGCATCGAGACGAGGTATGTCATCCTGACGCAACGATGGGTGAATGGACAACTTGTCTGCAGCTGCGACGACACGGCCGTCGCCATCATCGACTCGAACGGCACGATCCTCAGCGAAGTCGTCTCGTCGCAATGGGCGCTGCTGGAAACGTGGAAAGGCAGACTCGCGTACCTGTCGCCCTGCCGCTTGCTCATCGATCGCTGTAGGTATTGTGCCTGCGCTCGCCGCGCGGTCGCACGAAGAGAACCTTCCACTCGTGCTGCAGGCCGCCATCGAGCAAAGGTCCGAGCGAGCGTCGCTTCAACATGTTCATCTCATTGTAGCGGCCTTGATGGCTTTGGTGCTTTGGACGCAGTGGCAGTGACGTCCGGCCCAGGTCTCGCGCCGTGCCTCAACGTCGGACTCTCGGCAGCCAAGGACCTCGTCGCTCGGCACAACTTGGACTTTTTGGCCATCAACCACTTGGAGGTGCATCGCTGACGGAATGACGTCGCTCATGCACGCGTGTAGGCGCATGCGCTCGTGCCCCGGCTTCTGAACGTGCGCTTGTTCGAAAAGGAGGTCGTTGATTCCCTCTGATGCTTAGGACGACGTTCGCTTTCCGTTTCTTGTGCTCCTCGTGTCGGGCGGCCACTGCTCGCTGGTTCTCGCCAAGGTACACCCACCACTCTATCGCCGAGGCATATTGAATCGTGTATAGGACGTGGGCAGCTACGACGTGCTTGGAAGCACGGTCGACGACTCGGTCGGCGAGGCCTTTGACAAGGTCGCGCGCATGCTCGAGCTCCCGAGCGAGAATGCCAAGCTCCACGGCGGCGCTCTCGTCGAAGCCGCCGCGCGTCTCGGAAACGACCGCGTCTTTCGCCTCACGGAGCCCATGAAGAAGAAGAAGCGCAAGGTATGAACCGTCGCAGGTCGAGAGTACGCGATTGAGACCTGCTAGGACTGCGATTTTTCGTTTGCGGGCTTGAAGACAGCCATGATGCGGCTCATTGCCGAGGTAGCAACGTCGCTACTTGACGGCCAGCGTGACATCACACTGGGGTAGCATCAACCGCTGACACCAACGACCAAGCACGACCTCGCGGCCGCATTTCAAGTGGGAAACTATTGCAAACGTCACATTTGTTCAGGCGGCATGCACTGTAGCGCACAGCAGTCGCGCACCTTGTGACCCGAACGAAGCTTGCGTGCGAGATCACGACCGAGTCCCACCCATCGCTGCAGCACCTGGTATCCCTAGCGGCCAAGTGCCTAGTGGCGTTCACTGGCGTTTAGGTGGTTTGCGGGGGCGTGGCCGCCAACACGACGCTGCGACGCGAGATGGACACCCTCGCACGTGCCCACGGTACTCTCGGCTGCTGCCATAGTACTCGACTCAGAGTATACTTGCATAGGTCTTTGCGCGGTGTACCCGCCGCCGCGGTACGTCGCCCAATTTGAAAGCTAGAACACAACCGTCTTGGTGCCTAGCTACTGCACGGACAATGGTGTTATGATTGCGTGGGCCGGCATGGAGCGGTACCTCCGCGGCGTTCGCGATGACGCGGCCGGGACCAAGTACGCGCCGCGGTGGCCGTTGAACACCCTCCAGCACGTGCCGGTGCCGCCATAAATGCAGATGATTTCTTGGTAAATCGATAATTTGATACTATGAAACCAAGTCGAATGGCGCTAGACTTGCTGCAGGAGCTGTTGTAGCTTGGCTTGGAGCTCCTCGAGCGCCTGCAGCTCCGACTCGAGCGACGACGTCGTGGGCCCTTGCGGCTTTGGAGCCACTGGTGCTGGGGGACTATGGTTGGCGTGAAATGCGCGCTGGAACTCGTCAAAGTCGATAAAGCCGTCGCCGTTGGCGTCAAATTTGTGCAGCAGCAGCGTCTCGTCGAGGTCTGAGAAGCGGAACCCGAGCTGCTGCATCGCTAGGAAAAAGTCCCGCGCCGAGAGCGCGCCCCGGTGCACCCGGTCCGCGGCGTAAAAGCGAGCGTGGAGCTCCGCGGGTGAGAGGCTCTCGGTCGCCATGTGCCACTTCTTCACGAACGCTCGGCGGTTGAAGAAGCTCCAGAGCAGCTACAGAGCATCAGCGCATTGCTTGCATACGAGTCGGACCTCGCCATAGTCGATGCCGTTCGAGCCGTTCGTATCAAAGAAGGAGAAGAGCGCGTGCACTTGGTCGGCGCTCAGCTGCACGTGCAGACTCTGGAGCGCGGATGCAAACTCGGTCCAGTTGAGCGTGCCGCTACGATCCCGATCGTGCTGGCGGAAGAACGCAACGAGGTGGCGCCCCGCTTTGGCGGCGATCCGCTGCACTTTTCGCATCGCAGCGTCAAAGGCGCTCTTGGCGCGGACCTCGTCGGCACTCGTCACTGCGTGGCGGCGGCCATGAATGTCGTACACAAACGGCTCTGCCTCGTCGTCGTCGTCACGTGCCACTGCGTACACGTCGGTCGGCAGCGGGCCCGGGCCCAAGTCGGGACCTACATAGATGATACATTGATACTCTGATACATTCCACCGGCAATATCGCGCCTTTTTGCCCGTGGCGGCGCTGGCCGATCTGGAGCAGCCGCGTCGTGCGCTCGTGCTCGCGCATGTACTGAACGTACTCGCGCCGCGTTTGGTTCTCAACGTACGCGGTCATCTACGACGCTTGAGCGAAAAGGAAGGAGCGGTGGACTGCACCTCGTGGTGCTCGATGGCCTTGTGCGTCGCGGCCTTGACGAGCCGCTTGTCGCGCTTGTCCGTCTTGGCCGACGTCCGCAGCCGCGACGCCGACACCAAGAGCGACTGCTTGCGCGCCGTCGCGACGACCTCTTGCCGCCGGCGCAGCTCCTTGGCCTTCTCGACGTCGGCTTTGGACTTGCGCAGCTCGAGCGCCAGTCGCCACGCGTCGTCGGCCCAGCGCGACGATGCTACGGTGCTGCGCTGCGACCGCACGGCCGCGGGTTCGAAGGGCGCCACGTGTTCTCTACATGTATTAAGCCACGACGATCTATACGAGCAAGTGTACGCAAATGCCGGCGGTGCTTCGTCGTCGTCGCTGCTGTCTTCGGGCGCCGCACCGCTTGTGGGCGAGAAGGGTGGCAGCGGCTCGTCTTCGTCGACAAACGGACTCGCGATCGTGCGGGGCGTCAACGGCAGCGATTTTTTGCGCGTGACGGGCGCCTTGGAGAGCCCGACTTCGCAAAGCAAAACGAGCGTCGGCGGCGCGCTCTGCAGCAGGACCATGCGCGCGAGGAGCCAACGGATGAGGTCGTCGCGTGGCGGCGTCTTGTGCTGTGTGATCCAGCGCTGCATTGCGCGGTCGGCGGCGGACGATGTCGCTTCATGCGGATGCGTGCGGTAGCGTTGGACGGCGCCCGCCATCTCGGCCGTCGAGAGCGACCGCACGACGTCGCAGCTTGTGACCGAGAACTCCAGGCGGTACGATGGCGTCGCGACCTCTCGGACGACCACGTCATGGTCACGTGTCGCCACGAGTTCGTGCGTCGGCGTCAGCGTCGGCAACGACTGCCGGCCGCGCCACACCACATCGGTCGTCATCAATTCCTAAATATACACTTCCAACTCTTCTTCTCTGATCGTTGGTTGAGGCTCGCAACAACAACAATAGGACAACTTGTACAAATGATTAGTTGTCGTCGGCAAAGTCGCTGGCTTCGTCGTCGTCGTCGGACGAGTCGTCGGCGTGGTCGAGGTCGTACGAGATATCCACCGAGTCGCTAAAGTCACTGTCGCGCGAGAGGCGGAGGCGCGTTGTGCCGTTCGGGGTCATCGTGCCCACGAGCGAGTGAGCACCGACCTTGGCCTCCATCGCCATCGACGTCTACGCAAATGCTTGCCTTCTTCTCGATACATTGATAGACTGGCGTACCCGGCTGTCTTCGGTCGGTCGACTTGGCGCCGCCTTTCGTGTCACCGGCTTCCGAGCTTGTTTGGTCAGCTGGTTGATGTACGAGTCGACTTCGTTGCGCTTCCCAAACGTGATGGGAGAAAATAGCGTGTCGTCGTCGGCGTCGTCGTCGTCGCTACTGCCGACGCTTGACGCCGCCGCGTACGTGCGCTTGACCTTCTTGTTGGACTGCGGTGACGCGAGCGCATCGAGGTCCGTCGCCGGCACGTGCTTGCGCGGCGTGTACACGTCGTCGGCCGTCTTTTGCTCCAACTACGTCATTTTGAAAACTGACGACTGGTATGCTGGTCGTTGTACATCGTGGACAAACTGACGCACTTGGATCTTGCGCTTGATCGTGCCGGCGCGCGAGAGCTTTTCCTGGAGCCGCCCGGTCGCAGCGGGTGCTTTCGGCTTCTTGGCAGACCCCAGCGCTTCAAACTGCTTGCGCTGGCACTCGTCGCCCGTCTTGCCTTCGACGGCGCGAGCAATCTACCACGGGTCACGACACGACGCCAGCATAGACATGTACCTTGGCCCAGTACTCGGGCGTGCTCGCCGGAAGCATTTGGATGGCTTGCTTGAGCTGCGCGACTTGCACTGGCGTCCACGCGTCACTGTCGGTCTTCTGGTGCCTCTTGGCTGGCTTCTCGACCTTGACTTTGGGCGCTGGTCTGTATTCAGG